TGTCTTCAAGACCCGAGTGAATAGGTTGCTTATGGGTAGACGTGCTCCATCGTAGGTCGGATCTTGGCTTACCACCAGGCGTGATAACAGCCAAATGCTGACCCATTACGAAATTTTAAAAATATTACGTCAAACAACTTTGTTGTTCAGAAAAAATCAACGAAAAAATTCTAAAACCACCTTAGTAAATCGGAAAACTATTTCATTATATCTAGCTATCTATCTACCATAGGAATCTACACTTTGGGACGAGCAAATAGCTTCACTAAGAGGACAGAAGGACAGACTGACACTTTTCATCTTTAAGTTTTATTTGATTCCAAAGTGCCTGTAAGGGTCTGATTGACATTATTGATTTTGACTTAACGTTACTAAAAAGTAATATTGTAATATAATGACATTAGTGTCGTGGTGGCCCAGAGGTTAAGGAGCCCGCTTCTCATTCATGAGGGCGCGGGTTCGAAACCTGGCAAGTACCAATGTGACTTTTTCCGAGTTATATGTACTTTCTATGATTATTTAGACACTACTGACATACGGTGAAGGTAAACATCGTGAGGAAACCTGGACTTATAGTTTCTAATTATAAGTTTGAAATCGCCAACCCGCATTGAGCAAGCGTGGTGATTAATGCTCTAACCTTCTCCGTGTGAGAAGAGGCCCTTGCTCTGCAGTGGGCACTTATAGGCTGATGATGAATATAATAAAATAATTTTTAACAAAAAAAAAACCGACTTCAAAAAGTAAACTAAAAAACAAAAATATTATTTTCATTAAGTTATAAATAGAAAATAATATTTAATAACTATTTTATAATCTTGAAGTCGGTACCAAGTAAAACAATAATAGTGTAAAGATATTACCTACATACCTCTTGCTAGTTTGATGATTAGTAGGTACCGACCGAACAATATATTTTTGTAATAGGTACTGGGGTGTGATTCTGTAAGACTTCATTCTAAACTTCGAATCTGAATCCGCTGTGAGTAGTAGTACACTAGCGCTACGCTTGCGAGTTGAACTAAATTGACAGCAACATTTTGATAGATAAAGTATGAAATGACGTTAAAAGTGGCATTCTAAAATTTAATTTCCCCGTCATTTCGACGCTCACTTCGCACTCGAACACGATTCAAAATCAAACAAATTATATAGAATCGACGTGCTGTTGTTGTTTGGTATGTAGCATTTCCTTCTTTTTGGAAGTCGGTTAAAAAATAATTTATTTTTGACCTAGGAAACTACCTAGTCTCAAAGAGGAAAAATAAATGGAGATATTTGCCTCTCAATAAATCATTTATAACATCTACATTAATTATTATTTTTTTGACCTCTAAATAAAAGAATTATTACTTTTTTCATTGATAACGAAGTGATCATACGATGTTGTTTATAAAAGTTTAAAATAAATAAATTTATCGTACCGCACGTGATCCGTTTTAAATAAAAATCTCAGTATATTTTTTACTCGCTGCTCAGCTCCATTTAATCGTAGCGTGATGTTTTATAGCCTATAGCATTCAGGAACATTGTAGCTATCTATCAGTGAAAGAATTTTGGCAATCCGACCAGCGCTTCCAAAGATTACCCCCTACATACAAACTTACAAATTTTACCTCTTTATAATATTAGTATAGATGGGACAAAGCGCCAAACGAGCCCACGTGTCAGCTGAAGTTAAGCAATCGTCACCGCCCATGGACACCTACAACATCAAGGTTACAAGTGCGTTGCATTCCTACTGGTGTTAGGGGTTGTAAGATTAGGGAATTTAAGTGTGGGAGAGCCATGCTTCGGCACGAATGGGTCGGCTCGACCAGAGTGTTACCACGGCCTCACAGAAAACCGGCGTGAAATAACCTCTGCGTTGTGTTTCGCCGTGTGAGTGAGGTTACCGGAGGCCCAATCCTTCCCCTTCCCCAATCTCTCCTCAATCCCTAAATCTCCAAATCCCTAATCCCTAAAAGGTCGGCAACGCACTCGTTACTCCTCCGTTGCGAGTGTCCATGGGCGGCGCTGATTGCTTACCATCAGGTAATCTGTCTGCTCGTTTGCCGAGCTATTACATAAAAATAAAAAAAGAAATTGTGGATTGGATTTTCGACTTGTCTGCCTGAATATGAGTCTGGTGATTCGTACTCGGTTGATGGCAATTTCTCACCCCAAAGTTTAAGTGAAATCATAGGTATGTTTCAACGATGTTAAACAAAAATTTAAATATAAAAAGGGTCTGTCAATCAGTGCTCTAGTGAAACTTTTCGCCAGTTTTATATTTGACTAGCTTTTGCCCGCGGCTTCGCTCGCGTTAAGAAATATTATTATTAATTAGGATAGTTATCGCGGCTATTATTATTATTATGTAATAGGTCGGCAAACGAGCAGACGGATTACCTGATGGTAAGCAATCAGCGCCGCCCATGGACACTCGCAACGGAGGAGTTACGAGTGCGTTGCCGACCTTTTAGGGATTAGGGATTTGGAGATTTAGGGATTGAGGAGGGATTGGGGAAGGGGAAGGATTGGGCCTCCGGTAACCTCACTCACACGGCGAAACACAACGCAGTGGTTATTTTACGCCGGTTTTCTGTGAGGCCGTGGTATCACTCCGGTCGAGCCGACCCATTCGTGCCGAAGCATGGCTCTCCCACACTTAAGCGGCTTTACTTTTGTTAAGCGTGTGTTAAAAATTAAGGCTTCATCTTCATCAATCTTCAATTTTAGCCCAATTAGTCGAAAATCTTAGAAAATTTATACAAACTTTCATCCCCTATTTTATCCCCTTAGAGGTGGAATTTATCAAAATCTTTTCTTAGCGGATGCCTACGTCATAACATCTACCTATTTGCCAAATTTCAGTTCGATCCGTCCAGTGGTTTGGGCTAGATCACTTTATCAGTCACCTTTAAGTTTAATATACATATATTAAGATAAAGCGGCAGAACAGCAGACTTTATTACCTGATGGTAAACAAGGGCGCTGCCAACAGATCTTCTAAAAAAACACGGGAGCAAGTCGTTATCTTTTATATATATAAAAGAAAGTCGTGTTAGTTACTCCACTTAGGTATAACTCAAGAACGGCTGAACCGATTTAGCTGAAAATTGGCAGGGAGGTAGTTTAGAGCCAGGAGAAGGACATAGGATAGGATATAGTAGGTAGTGCAGGTTAGGTAGAGTAGGGTAGGGTATATAGAGTAAGGTAGGTAGAGCCGCGGGTAAGAGCTAGTCTTATTATATAAAAGAAAGTCGTGTTTAATTACTCCACTTATAACTCAAGAACAGCTAAACTGATTTAGCTGAAAATTAGCAAGGAGGTAGTTTAAAGCCAGGAAAAGGGCATAGATAAAGGCTTTTTAATAAATTTAATATGGCCCACGATAGTCAATATTCCAAAATTCATTTAATAAATTTGCTCTTTGAGAAAGAATTTTCTGAATATTCTACAGTCAATCTTAACTTCACTTACCAAGTATACAAGTAAAGCGCTCGACAACGGATGCCATAATTACAAAATATCAGTAATTATCAATTAATTTCTGTCCATAAAGACGTCGATCCCATACGTAGTGTGTTCAAACGGGCGTGAAGACTCGACCTTCAGAAGTGGACTTAGTTCTAAAGTAATTAGAGTTTATAATTCTTAGCTCCTAGCAACAAGTCTTTTTTTCTTACGTTGCCCCACACTAGGGCTCTCCTATATCCACTTATGTATCTACGAAGTGCGAAAGAACCAAGCTTGGGCAAGAATACGTCGGCTCGACCGGAGTAATAGCACCACCTCACAGAAAACCGCCGTGAAACAACCCGGGGAGGACCCAATTCCTACCCATCTCCTATCCTTTTTCAATCCTTAAATATCCGCTACTCTTATCCCCAAAAAGCCGGCAACACACTCGTAACTCCTTTGGCGTTACGGGTGTCCATGGGCAGCGCCGATTGCTTACCATCAGGTAATCCGTCAGCTCGTTATCGACTTATCCCATAACGTGGCTGTGTTTTACAAACATACAATTTCACATACACATCACACCCAGACCCGGAACAACAATTCGAGGATCGTACAAAGAGATTTAAAAATTCTTACGGATTTATAAATTGTTTCACTTTACAACTAGACAGATTTAATACTTTATAATCAAAGTCAAGGTCGTTTGTGTTAATTAGAATATAAAAGGCACTTTTGAAAGAATCGGCTGCGTTCAGTGACACTCGCATTACCCAAGCAGTTACAAGTATGTTCCCGGACGCTTGTGGTCTGTTAGGCATTTGTGGCTAAAGGGTTTAAGAATGAGGCCTCCTTAAGGCCCAATTCTTCCCGCATTGGTCAAAAGTCAAAAGTCTAAAATCATTTATTCCCATTAGACCCTTACAGGCACTTATGAACGTCAAAAAAAAATTTGAAGATATAGTGTCAGTCTGTAGGTCAGTCCTCTTAGTGAAGGTATTTGCTCGTTCCATAGTGTAGATTCCGATGGAGAAGAACGAGCAAGAAACTCCATGGTTACTCTTTTTAAATCAGTTTCACATACAGATGCCTTTTACAGCCACAACACGTAACACAATAAAAGTGTTGCTTAACCCCGGTTTTTTGTGAGGCCGTGGTATCACGCTGATCCTGCCGACCCATTCGTGCCGAAGCTTGGCTCTCCTATACTCAAAGACCTCACAAAAGACTGGCTTGAAACATCACTTGCTATGTGCTTCACCGTGGTTGTAGTTACCGTATTCCCAATCCTCTTTGAAGCAAACGTAGTGTAGGGCCACAGTGTAGGGCGCTCTCCAGCTAGGTGGACTGACGACATCCGCAGGGTGGCTGGCAGTGGTTGGATGAGAAGAGCTGAACATCGAGCTCAGTGACGTGCAATTGGGGAGGTCTATGTCCAGCTGGAGGACGAAATCAGGTTGATGATGATGATGTTAAATCCTCTGTTGTTTAATAAAGAAGAATTTACCTTAAAGCTAATGCAATGAAGTGTAATTTTGTCTATCTCTTTGTTTCAGTATTGCTCCTGATTTCTACGACATTCGTCCTGAGTATGATCGGGACGATATTCTTTTGTTTTACAAATACAATCAACGACGCCATACTTTCAGTGAGTATTGTTTTTAATCCTATTCTAAATAGATATCTAAGTGTGGGAGAGCCATGCTTCGGCACGAATGGGTTGGCTCGACCGGCCTAACAGAAAACCGGCGTGAAACAACCACAACGTTGTGTTTCGCCGTGTGAGTGAGGTTACTGGAGACCCAATTCCTCCCCCCTCCTAAAGTATGAGGTTTAGTCAGTAGGAGTCACTCCCTCTCGCTCTAACCGGGCGAAGAGAAGTCATTTTGATGATTTTCCCCCTTAAAAATAAGGGGAAAATCCAGAGATGGTATCCTATATCGTATGAGAGGAAGTCACGGTGCCAATCACTCGCTCACTCGGCAGCGCTGGAGGGACAGTCAGCCTGAATCCATCAGAACCCATCATCCGCAGCTTGGTGGGTCCACCTATCAGTCAACATTTAGGTATCGTCATGAGCTAATGTTCACATGTAAACAGCAGCTCATGTAGTGTAGATGTCCAGTTAACAAGGATGTAGCGAGGTTGACTGTCCAGGCAACACACGTACTTAGGTATCGTCATGAGCTAATGTCCACATGTAAACAGCAGCTCATGTAGTGTAGATGTCCAGTCAACAAGGATGTAGCGAGGTTCACTGTCCAGGTGGCAGACGTACTAAAATATCTTTCTTTCGTTCACAGAGCATGGTGATTCGAAACAACTCCTTAGCGTACAAGATCTGGAAGCGACCAGATGTACAGCCTCATATGAAAGTGCATATCTTCAATTATACGAATTGGGAGAGGGTCAAAGAAGGGCTGGATGAGAAACTGCACGTGGAAGAAGTTGGACCATACGTATACTCGTGAGTAACTTATATATTTTATAAAGAAAGAAGAAAGAAAGAAAAGAAAGAAAAAGCATTTATTTAGACTCGCATAGAACAACAACAATAAAAAAATAAAAGTAACTACTTAATCTATATCAAACTTACAATATTTTAAATTACAAAAAAAAACAGAAAACTAAAATTAACACAACTGCTCTGTGCGAGGCCAAAAAGGCTCCTATATCAGCATATGCTGCGATATTAAAGTAACATAAAATAACGCAGCGCTGGTTTTTATACTAAAAAGTAACTAATAACAGCGATTTTTTTAGATATTTCTCTATCGCGGAAACACTATATTGTTTCGAGATCAAAATTAATGTAATTTCCTCCTAAAAAGATCAGATCACCTACCTATCAACAAAAATTCCGGTCGAAATCGGCCCAGCCATTTCAAATACTAGCCGTAATAAACAGACAGACAGACATACATGACAAAGATTGTAAAAAGCTTTATTTTTCTGCATGATCCATAGGTACAAGGACATGTATTTATAAATGCATTAACTTACAATCGGTTAATTATTTCAATATTACAATCAGACATTCCAATTTTATTAATATGTAACTTACCGGTAGATGTAAAGATAAATTTAAAAAGGCTGTGATGGGATGGTTGAGTGTCCAAACTTAGTGCTTAATTTGTCTCGATTGTTTTATTGTTATTTTTTACTTTAATTTTATTGTTCCGCATTATTGTAGTATTTTTTTTTTCCTTTTTTTAAATGTTTTTTCTAGTTTGTAATTGTAATTGTAATATACTAACTGTTGTCGTTACGTTACAGAGCATGTTGTGACACTTTAAAATGTTGTGCATTTGATTTTATTATTACTTAAGTTTTTAGATATAAGTTTAAATGTAACAACTACTAGTTGTCCAAAATAAAATAAATAAATAAATAAATAATACTGTTGGGTTACCACAATATAAGGATTTTCTCCCGTGTCATGACTGCGTTTCCAAACATACTATTTGACACACACACGCAAACCCGATTACCGAAAAAACCTCGGAGGTTAGTCTTTTTAAAAATCTAGAGAAATTTAAAAATGTGCAGTTATTTGTCATCCCATCCCATCGTCCACCACAGACGAGGCCCTATACAATGAAACAATGAATTTATTTTTGCAAATAGGCCATAAAACGGCACTTTTACACGTCAAATTATATGTGAAAAAATAGATGAAGCCGGCATTTCCTATCTGACTACTCTGAGAAGAAATGCTGAAACAAACTCAGAGGTCATAGGGTCATATAGGGCTGATGTTCAGCCGAGGTTGCGGGGTAAGCGCAATGAGGCACCGCGACCTTGGCCCAGAGCAGGAGAAGGAACAGGGGGGTTTTTAGTCAGTAAGAGTCTGACTCTCCCTCCCGCCCAGTCCTTTCAGGAGAAGTCATTTGATGATTTTACCCTCACTAAAACAACAAAACAATCCCATCGTCCGATGTCTTCTCCCACCCAGGATGGGGCGAGTGAGTGACACTCCCTGTCAGACTCTTACAGACTAAAAACCCCTCTGTTCCTTCTCCTGCTCTGGGCCGAGGTCGCGGTGCCTCATTGCGCTTACCCCGCAACCCCGGCTGAACATCAGCCCTATTGGGCCCCGTCTGTGGTGGTCTATTGGCTCTTTGAAGCTCGCGCGGAACGCTACGCGCCATACGCTCGCGCCTGGTTCTGGTCGCAGACCGCAGACCCGCGCTTACGGTGGCCGGAGATCATCTCTCGATCCCCGACGCCCGGAATGTCGCCTATTACGGTGGCCGGGGCGTGAGGAGGAGAACCCGCGATATTGCGATATCACTTCCGTTCGATATGGTTTCGTTCAAGGTTGTGTTCACAACATTGTGGTAGGTTGTAAACAAATACCTAAGCATGAGAGCTTTGACACAAATGGGCCAGCTCAAACGGGGTGACACCACGGCCTCACAGAAAACCGGCGTGAAACAACCACAGCGTTGTGTTTTGCCGCGTGAATGAGGTTACCGGAGGTCCAATTCCTAGCCCCATCCTTTCCCAATCCTTAAATATCCATTCTTATCCTTAAAAGGCCGGCAACGCACTTGTAACTCCTTTGGTGTTGCGGGTGTCCATGTGCGGCGCCGCTTGCTTACCATCAGGCAATCCTTCTGCTTGTTTGCCGCCCTATGTTCAGGTCCATATTTTTTCATCCCATATCACTAAACCATAATGATCCAACGGACAAAACAATGAAATAATTAAGTCAGTCCAAGCAAAATTGATCACGCGTTCGCACCCTGCGCAGGAGTTTCGTCTTTGCCCGATAACTTGTTGTACAGATAACAATTATTACATTTTTATATATAGAACTTGCCCTATGAACTTGGTATATAAGTTAAGTATATAATATAACAAATGCAATTTATTTAATAAATACAGTTTTGATAAATGTGAATTCGTAATTAATTTTTGTTCTATGATTGTATCGGGTTTCGTTATATGATGTTTAAGAGAATTTTTTTTTTGTTTTGCTCCGTTATTCAGTGTAGTGGTCGTGGTGGCCGGGAGGTTAAGGCGCCCGCTTCTCATGCATGAGGTGTGGGTTCGAAACCTGGCAAGTAACAATGTGACTTTTTCCGAGTTATATGTACTTCCTATGATTATTTATGCCCGGTTCCTATATTTAACGAATCGTCGTTGTATACGCATTACGACCAAATGACATTACGAATAGTTATCTTGACCGTCTACTGACGGTTAAAATATTTATAGGAACACCACAGACACCATAGATCTCCATACAATTCGCTTACCGATGTCCGTTAGTTGCAAACCGTCAGTAAGTTGCACGACGAGACGTTTTTTATAGGAACGGTTTTAGCTTACGAGTCGTATATAAAACTACTATTCGTAACTAAAACGGATCGTTTCTCAATTATAGGAACCGGGCATTAGACACCACTGACATACGGTGAAGGTAAACATCGAGAGAAAGCGTTTAAAATCGCCAACCCGCATTCAGCAAGCGAAGTGATTAATCTAACCTTCTCCGTATGAGAAGAGGCCTTTGCTCAGCAGTGGACACTTATAGGCTGATGATGATGATTCAGTGTCAATCACATCGTCAGTTCGTCTCCTGTGCCGTGAATGCGTTTATAAACATACAACTTCACATACACATCACACCCAGACCCGGAACAACAATTTGTGGATCACACAAAGAGTTGTTCCATGCGGGAATCGTACAAGGGACATGTTGCGCGGCAGTAAGTTGCACCAACCGTGCTATCATAATAGCGACTAAAACTAAAGCAGGGACGGGCTGCTAGCAACTAGTATAATTATAGTAGTAACTGTAACTATTAACATATTTCTCTGCTAGACTTCCTCTACATAAATATGAGGTCGTTAACGTTTATGAAGGACAGCTGCCTTTTTTTGTAAGGGGAAAATCATCAAATGACTTCTCCCGCCCAGGGTAGGGAGGGAGGGAGTGTCAGACTCTTACTGACTAAAAACCCCCCTGTTCCTTCTCCTGCTCTGTGCCGAGGTCGCGATGCCTCATTGCGCTTACCCCGCAACCCTGGCTGAACATCAGCCCTATAGGGCCCCGTCTGTGGTGGTCTATTGGCTCTTTGAGGCGAACGCTACGCGCCGTACGCTCGGGTCTGGTTATGATCGGGTGCCGAGCTACCCTTACTCGCTGTCCGATTACCTCTCGATTCCCGACGGCCGGAGTATCTCCTTCTGCGGCGGCTGAGACGCGAGGAGGATAGTTCCCTCACGCGCTCCGCCTCCTCCTTTGCGAGCATAACTGCTTTGCAGAAGGAGGAGACAGCTTCCCAATTCCTCTCGCTATGAACCATGGCCTCGATTAAAGCCGGGCGTGAGAGTTCGCTGCCGCCGATCACAAGGAGAGCTGCTTGCAGTATGATTCTGTAAGACCTCATTCTAAACTTCGTATCTGAATCCGCTGTGAGTAGTAGTACACTAGCGCTACACTTTCGAGTTGAACTAAATTGACCGCAACATTTTGATAGATAAAGTATGAGATGACGTTAAAAGTGGCATTCTATAATGTAATTTACCCGTCACTTCGACGCTCACTTCACACTCGAACAAGATTCAAAATCAAACAAATTTTATAGAATCGACGTGCTGGTATCTGCCTATAGTGAAGTTCCTTAGTCGTCTTGACATACCCGCGTGAAGAGGAGAGCTAGGACAACATGTATTACTTATACTCTGCCGTCACAGTACGACTCTATAGGCTATGTGCGCGACGGTGGCGACGCGTAGCGTTTACAACATTTGCGGAAGCTGTCAAATAATAACAATGTAAACATTATATGTAATTTTCTTTGCAAATATAAATAGAACCAAAGATTAAAATAGTATTGTTGACATTATTTAAGTGCAATTTATTCAATAGTTTTAATGTAAAATGAATATAATAATAAAAACCGACAGCTGATCATCCGCATTTGTTTCCAATTTCTGCCGTGTTGTGCGCTGCGGTCGTTATCTGTCCGCCACTACTCGCTTTGCACATAGCCAATATATAAAGGAAAGTAAATAAATAAATTATAATTATATAATTATATTGTTGTGTGCTAATTAACGTTTGATAATTAATTGGAAATGCAAGTGCGTGTATTCATTCATAAATAAGTGAGAATGTATGTATGTATATATGACGACGGACAAAGTCTAATGACTTATTATCATATACTAGCTACTCTCGCGCGGTTTCACCCGCTGCTCGGTTCCATTTAATCGTAGCGTGATGCTTTATAGCCTATAGTACTCAGGAACATTGTAGCTATCTATCAGTGAAAGAATTTTGGCAATCCGACCAGCGGTTCCAAAGATTACCCCCTACATACAAACTTACAAATTTTACCTCTTTATAATATTAGTATAGATTAGTATAGATGTAGATAATAATATTGTTTGCTTCATTGGTTATGCTAATCTCAGGAATATCCAAGCATGAGCAATCTCTTGCGTCAGTCGTTTATCACAAATCAAAGTCCTATTTTATTACGATCTTAATTTTCCAAATCTATATCGATTCATCAAGTGTGTGAGAACTATGCTTCGGCGCGAATGAGTCGGCTCGACTAGAGTGTTACTACGACCTCACAGAAAACCGACGTGAAACAACCATAGCGTTATGTTTCGTCATGTGAGTGAGGTTACTGAAGGTCCACTCCTTCTCCCCCAATCCTTAAATCCCCAAATCCCTAATCCCCAAAAGGTAGCGCATTCCTAACTCCTCTGTTGTTGGGCGGCGGTGATTGCTTATCGTCAGGTAAACCGTCGGCTCGTTTGCTGACATATCACAATAAAAAACCCTAGCGAACGCCGGCGTTCGCTCACCTATTGTTCTTCTATTGTGTATCGAACGATTATTATTATCACGATTGATAGTATTTAATAGGTTATAAAGCGGCTATGTTTTGAGATGGATTTGAAGATCTAGATATTTTAAACGCATGTCTGTTTTAATCAGTCCCAGGACAAACACCCGGTTTCTGAAAGGCTAAAGAAAATTAACTAATCTCCTGTTAAGTCTCTTGTCAAGTCACCTGTCATCTCACGCGCTGCATTTTTTTTTTTTTTTTTGAAAGCGACTCTGCTTCGTAGAATGAGAAGATTTCCTAATTTCTCTCGGTTCGACTAAGGCCAGAAGCGAAAGGCAAGAAGTAGAAATTCTGTAATAACTACGTCATGATTTAATTTCAAACAAAAACGTACAGATTCTTGCTCCACAGGATTTTTACTTCATGTAGAGAGCTCAGTCCCGAAATTTTTAAAAGTGCGTTGGAGATGAGAGATTTGAGATAAAAAGTCAAAAGTCAAAATCATTTATTTCAATTAGACCACTGTAGGCACTTTTGAACGTCAAGCAAAAAAAATAAGAAAAAGAAAATATATTGCAAGAGGTTTAACTTTATGCGTCTGTCCGTCTGTCCTCTAGTGAAGCTATTTGCTTGTTCCAAAGTGTAGATTCCTATGGAGAAGAACGAGCAAGAAACTCCATGGTTACTCTTTTTCAATCAGTTTTACAATACATTTCTTTGTTACATCATTTAGTCGGTTCAGATATGTGAGAACAGCGTAACACTAATATTTGGGCAAAGAATTCGAAAAAGGAGTTATTCTCAAGGACAACATATTTAGACAGCCTCGAGTTGACCAGTCCCAATAGGCGGCGCCCATCGCGATCTTCCTTTCAAACGCCTTCCTAGAGTTACCCCCGGTTTCCGAAAGGCCGATCAATGTTAAAATCAATTTAATCTCTTGTCAAGTCATCTGATTGGTTGACTGAATTATCAATAACCAATCAGATGACTTGACAAGAAATTTAACAGGAGATTAGTTAATTTTAGCGTTGACAAGCCTTTCAGAAACCGGGGGTTAGACTCCGGAATGTCCTTCAGCTTAACCCTCAACCTCGACCAGACCTTAACCCCGGATTATTACATAGTAATCCGAAAATAGCAAAAACTTAGAAAATCCATAACATTTAGTAATTTCCAACGCGTTTCGGTTGACGTAGATATGACATTTATGTCAATATCAATAGTACCTACGTGACATAAAAAAAAATGTTTGACATGATGTGACGTGATGTTATGTTGTGTTTTTCATGTTACGTCAACACATGTCTAGTGACGTGAGATATTGTAATGGGTTCAAAGTTATTCAGATAGTTATCAGATTTTGTAATAACTTTGTAAATAAATAAATAATTAATATTGGAAGTGTGTATGCAATTAATAATGAGATTAAAATTGTATTTTACTATTTAAGTGTGGGAGAGCCATGCTTCGGCACGAATGGGTCGGCTCGGCCGGAGTGACACCACGGCCTCACAGAAAACTGGCGTGAAACAACCACAACGTTGTGTTTCGCCGTGTGAGTGAGGTTACCGGAGGCCCAATCCTTCCCCTACCCCAATCCCTTCCCAGTCCCAAAATCCCCAAAATCCCAATTCTTAAAAGGTCGGCAACGCACTCGTAACTCCTTCTTTGTTGCGGGTGTCCATGGGCGACGCCGATTGCTTACCATTAGGTAATCCGTATGCTCTTTTCCCGTCCTATCATATAAAAAAAAAACTTAAGTGTGGAAAAGATTTTTTTTACTTTCTTAAATACAATATCAACAGTTTAGTTTTGGGCGGGTTGGCGATTTCAAACTTATAATTAGAAACTATAAGTCCAGGTTTCGTCACGATGTTTTCTTTCACCGTATGTCAGTGGTGTCTAAATAATCATAGAAAGTACATGTAACTCGAAAAAAGTCACATTGGTACTTGCCAGGTTACGAAGACCCTCATGCAGGAGAAACGGGCTCCTTAACTTTCGGTCCATAACGACCACCAAATCCTATTTCTTCAGAAATTAGCTTAGAAAAAAACTGTCATATCAATACACTTTTCGGATCTTAGGGTGGAGTCTACAGTAACTACTACAACCTCCAATAGATTATCGACCAATATAATAGACTCCTTCATTGTTTTATGATGATTGCCACACTTATATAGTATTTACGGGGCGATAACGCCAAAAATATAGCCATAAAAGTAGATACTAGATAAAGTATCAATTCTTTTTGGCAAAATTGTTCCATGTTTTGCTATAACATCGTCATTTAGCTGTTTTTTCTCTGGCAATACACATCATAGATAGCTTCTGCCCAAATAGGTTGGCTCGTCCAATTATAATAATAATTTAAACACGAATCAAAAAACAAAGGAGTTAGAGGCTTGATGGGGCGATGGCCCAGGGCGAAAAATTCCAGGTCTGAAGTTGGAGTCTCTTGCCTCTCCTGGTGCAAACCCTCAGAACTGTGCTCTACGCTCTGTTCATATGCATATTTTTTATTGAGATATATTTTTAATTTTACTTGGGACAAAGTCTAACGCTTGATATTGCTTCCCGCAAGTGGGTGTCACAATATTTTCGCCAGGGGTGTCAGTGGCCCTTACGCCGGCACTGAAACATAGGTATGCAGGCAAGTCTTTAAGTGTGTCGGGCACGGAATGGGCAATCTAGGCGCCCAACCAGTGACTCCAGGTAAGACGGTGGCTCAGTGGTCACGTGCCGCTGTGCACAGAGAGGATTAAAGAGGTCACATACCTCTCGATAGAGATGTGCCGACATGATAGGTCGGCAGACGAACATCGGAATTACCTGACGGTAAGCAATCAGCGCCGCCCGGATACTCGTAGTACCAAAGGTGTCACTACAAGTGCGTTGCCGGCTTCTAGATAGGAGGATATGAAGATTGAGGATGGAGGAAGAATTGGGCCTCCGATAACCTCACACACACGGCGAAACACAACGCTGTGGTTGTTTCACGCCGGTTTTCTGTGAGGCTGTGGTATCATTACGGTCAAGCCGACCCATTCGCATCGAACCTGTTTTAAACGTAGGATTTACTTTAGAATTTTGTTTATTTTAAACATTACGAAGAAAACCACATCGGTAAAACCAGTGTACTTATTCACTTAGATTGGTTTCACATTAAAACGCGAAATCATAAGAGAATCTATACTATACTAATATTATAAAGAGGTAAAATTTGTAAGTTTGTATGTAGGGGGTAATCTTTGGAACCGCTGGTCGGATTGCCAAAATTCTGTCACTGATAGATAGCTAAAATGTTCGTGAGTGCTATAGGCTATATAACGTCACACTACGATCAAATGAAGCTGAGCAGCGGGTGAAACCGCGCAAGAGTAACTAGTATCTAATGAAAATGCATGTTTTTACTGTCCTATCATCATGACTGTGACATAGTGTAAACAGCAGCTCATAAGAAAAAAATAACATACCTAACTTAATTTCCCTTAGTCGTCAGTCATACCTAAGTACGTGTGTCGCCTGGACAGTCAACCTCGCTACATCCTTGTTGACTGGACATCTACACTACATGAGCTGCTGTTTACACGTGAACATTAGCTCATGACGATACCTAAGTACGTGTGTCGCCTGGACAGTCAACCTCGCTACATCCTTGTTGACTGGACATCTACACTACATGAGCTGCTGTTTACATGTGAACATTAGCTCATGACGATACCTAAGTACGTGTGTCGCCTGGACAGTCAACCTCGCTACATCCTTGTTGACTGGACATCTACACTACATGAGCTGCTGTTTACATGTGAACATTAGCTCATGACGATACCTAAGTACGTGTGTCGCCTGGACAGTCAACCTCGCTACATCCTTGTTGGCTGGACATCTGCACTACATGAGCTGCTGTTTACATGTGAACATTAGCTCATGACGATACCTAAGTACTTGTGTCGCCTGGACAGTCTACCTCGCTACATCCTTGTTGACTGGACATCATCATCAGCCTATAAGTGCCCACTGCTGAGCAAAGGCCTCTTCTCACACGGAGAAGCGGTGAGCATTAATCACCACGCTTGCTCAATGTAGATAGGCGATTTCAAACTTATAATTAGAAATTATAAGTCCAGGTTTCCTCACGATGTTTACCTTCACCGTATGTCAGTGGTGTCTAAATAATCATAGAAAGTACATATAACTCGGAAAAAGTCACATTGGTACTTGCCAGTTTCGAAGCTGGCTCCTTAAACTCCGGGCCACCACGACATTCTCTACAATACACATTAACATATTATTATTTCTTTTGTTTCAGACAACAGTTGGAAAGAGTCAATATAGAGTTTAATGGTGATAAACTCAGTTTTCAAGAGAGGAATCACTTTCAATTTTTAGCTGACAAAAGCAATGGAGCACATTTCGATCGAGTCGTTGTACCCAACCTTCCTCTACTGGTAAGTATCAAAGAAGTTACTTTCTTTTTCTATATAAGACAGGGCAGTCAACGAGCAGACGGATTACCTGATGGTAAGCAATCGGAGCGCCCATGGACACCTGAGGAGTTACCTACGAGTGCGTTGTCGGCGTATTGGGGAATAGGATTTCGGAGGTATATGCATTGAGAGGGGAAGAGGAATGATTGGGCCTCCAATAACCTCACTCAATCACAGGTCGAAATACAACGCTGTTGTTTTTTTTTTATTTGAATCTGCACTAAGGAAGAAGGACCTAGCTTCACTGACAAATAGGATCGATTTTCTATTTTTCACATTTTAAAAATGCTCTGTGCCGGTTGAAATTAGTATTTTGACTTCGAAGTAGAAAAAATATTAATATTTTTTTCAATCCAAGCTCCTATTAGGAGTTTCTATATAAGTCCTGGAAGTGTAGCAGTGTGATTCTGTAAGACTTCATTCTAAACTTCGAATCTGAATCCGTTGTGAGTAGTAGTACACTAGCGCTACACTTGCGAGTTGAACTAAATTGACCGCAACATTTTGATAGATAAAGTATGAGATGACGTTAAAAGTGGAATTCTAAAAACAAATTTTATAGAATCTACGTGCAGGTTCCCTCTGGGAAGTCAATGACCTTTCCCTATACTAAAATTACGCGAAAAAAATATGTTAGCGTTAGGGAAATACAAATTTTAACAGGTACATGCCTCGTATCTTGTTATTCTGCCGTAATAATAGGGAACCCGATAAGATAAACTGATTATTATTAAATATTTTTATATATTGAATACTCTATAAAGTTGTAAATAGCACGTAAGCTTACCATATAAACTTATGGGGGTCTGTTACTAAATATAACTTTTTTTTATGTAAATGGTCGCCAAACGTGCAGACGGATTACCTGATGGTACGAATGAGTTACGAGCGCGTTGCCGACCTTTTAGGGATTAGGGATTTGGAGATTTAGGGACTAGGAAGGGATTGGGGAAGGGGAAGGATTGGGCCTCCGATAACCTCACTCACACGGCGAAACACAATACTGTGGTTGTTTTACGCCGGTTTTCTGTGAGGCCGTGGTATCGCTCCGGTCGAGCCGACCCATTCGTGCCTTAACATGGCTCTCCCACACATTACTATTATAACTGCAGAAGTATTGACATTTCTGCAGTCAATCAGTTATTTTTCTGTGGAACAAAGTCCTGTAGGCCTGCCGTGACTTGTTAAAGCGTCAATCTTCCAGGCGAGAAAGAGGGATGGAGCTATACACCTTTTATAGCTCCATCCCTCTTTCTCGCCATGGTAGGCCCTCTGAGCCCAAAGATCTACAGTAGATAGAAGTTTGAATACATAGTTTTGATAGAAACTGCAGAAGTCTGAAGTGTCAGTGGGCCGGTCACATATGTCAAGTAACCGATGATCGTTGGGGTAGACCTGTTCTAAAATGGAGATCACGTCTAGGCAAACGTAGTGTAGGGCGCCCTCCAGCTAGGTGGACTGACGATATACGTAGATTGGCTGGCAGTGGTTGGATGAGAAGAGCTGAACATCTAGCTCAGTGGCGTAAAATTGGAGACGCTTGCGTTCAGGAGAGGACGGAATTAGGCTGATGATGTTGATGATGATGAAACACTGAATTTGAGGAGAGGAAATTCAGTTTCCACTTCCCTTTGTCAATTGAATGCAGGGTACTGAATGACTTTAGCCTTGAGGGCACAAAAGAGACTGCACAAATGGTTTCCGAATTGTGTATGGTCCACATTTCAGAAACCAGGCGACAGCGCACTCTGATTAACATGAACCTTCTGAACTGTGATCTCCAGCCCACCTGCACTAGGTTAACTACCACGATGATGTATCATCACCCTAAAAGTGCCTACTGCTGAGCAAAGACCTCTTCTCACACGGAGAAGGTTTGAGCATTAAACGCTTCCTCGAGGCAGATTAGCGATTTTAAAGCTATAGGACCAGTTTTCCTCACGATGTTTACCTTCATCGTACGTCAGTGGTGTCTAAATAATCATAGAATGTACATATAACTCGGAAAAAGTCACATTGGTACTTGCCAGGTTTCGGGCCCGCACCCTCATGCATGAGAATGGATACCTTAACCTCCGGGCCACCACCACAATAACCTTATTTCTTTGTTACAGGGGGTTATTTCAAAAGCTCTAAGTATGAACCTGAACAGTCTTGGACAGCTGACTCTGAGTTCCGCAATGACTTGGGCCAATCATCCGAATGCCTTCGCCGAGTTACCTGTGCACCGGTAAGAAATGATTCTACTGTTTACTACGTACCCGTCAATAATACGCAAAATAAGACTAAGAGATATGCTTCAACACGATTAGGCCTTCTCACACAGCTTTATAGAAAACTAGCTTTTGCCCGTGCTTCCGTTCGCGTGGAATAGTGACTTCCTGCAGATTTTTGGTATAGGTATAAACTATCCTATCTGTGGTGTCTAAATAATCATAGAAGCACGGCTCTCCCACACTTGAAATATAAATGTCTCATGAATCAATATTTCTGCCAGCCCCCTTTTCAGTATAAGGTCGTTAACCCTGGCAATGACTTATGACTGTGTGTGTGTGTGTGTGTTATAAGTCCAGGTTTCCTCACAATGTTTGCCTTCACCGTATGTCATTGTTGTCTAAATAATCATAGAAAGTACATATAACTCGGAAAAAGTCACATTGGTACTTGCCAGACCCTCATGTATGAGAAGCGGGCTCCTTAACCTCCTAACCTCCAGGTCACCACGATAATACATATACTATAATGGGCATATATCTTCTTTAATCTTTTAAATTTGTTTTTAAATAAATAGATGCTCGCTTACTTGTGCTCAGAATCTGCATTTTGTAGAATTTAGCCCTAAAAAGCTAACTTAATAATGACTTTCTTTTTCCTTAGATTCCTATGGGGGTATGATGATAGCATCATTGATACGGCTAAACCTTTCCTGAGCCTCGGAGGGCAACTCAAGTTCGAGAAGTTTGGTTTACTCGTAACGGTAAGACATGTTTCTGTATTTTCTATACTAATATTATAAATAGGTAAAATTTGTAAGTTTGTATGTGAGGGGTAATCTTTGGAACTTTTAATCGCTGGTCGGATTGCCAAAATTCTTTCACTATACTGACCTTACATAACATAAGCTTTCCAAATATTCTTCCGCAGAAAAACGGCACAGTCTCTGAGAGATTCACGATCAACACCGGAGAATATGATAAGGATAAGATGAACATCATTGAACAATTCGACGGGAAAGACCATCTTACGTTTTGGGGCAGCCCGGAGTGCAACAGGTGAGAATACCTTTTGTAATAAACTATATAGTATTTCTTTGGGTTTACCTTCAGCACGTCGATTCTATAAAATTTGTTTAATTTTGAATCGTGTTCGAGTGCGGAGTGAGCGTCGAAGTGACGGGGAAATTAAATTTTAGAATGTCACTTTTAACGTCATCTCATACTTTATCTATCAAAATGTTGCTGTCAATTTAGTTCAACTCGCAAGTGTAGCGCTAGTGTACTACTACTCACAGCGGATTCAGATTCGAAATTTTGAATGAAGTCTTACAGAATCACACTGCAGGTGTGTTGATAAAGGAATCGCCTAACGAGAAGCAATCGGCGACGCCCACGTTCAAGCTCCGTATGGTGTTCCGAAATACCTCTCACCGAAACGACGGTTTTCCGATAACACTCAACTCCGACGGTTAGTTGAACGAAAAAATAATTGGCCGATGAAATGTTTCGCCGATAAAATAATTATCGAGGGTTGGTAGTCCGAATGAATCCTTCGCGGATGTAACGGTGTACCGAAAACATTCTCCAACGATGATTGGTTCAACGAACGAACCTTTCGCCGATTGCACTCGTTGTAGGGGAATTCTTTTGCCAAATGGATAGTTTTTCTTTCAGCTTGACAATGACAACACCCTTAGGTCTTGTAGAAGTCTTGTTAAAAATATAGGCATAACACACTTTCTGTTCCAAGGACACAAAATGCATTTGAATTGTGACATGAACGATGGAGTGTTCCATCGTTCATGTCAATTCCTTCTCCATAGAAGACGAAAGATTCTTTAGTTGAACCAATCGTCGTTGAAGAGTGTTTTCGGTGTACCGTTATGCTATGCTATATATTTTGCTCATGGCAGTAGATTCTTCGACGAAAACATCTTGTCAGATATTAATTCACCAAACCCCAAACGAGCGCTAGCGTTCGCGCATATTGTTCTTCTATGGTGTCTCGAATAACCACGATTGAAATGTTAAAATCATGGAATGTTGGAATGTACTTAATCTTACTTACATTAAAATAATTTTCCATGCTCATTTTTCATAGTAAAATATCGTTTAAGTATGATCATTCAAGAAAATAATTGAGTTTTATTGGTTGAAAACTAAACGGTATATAATCTTAAATGGTATATAATAAAAAACCTTACAAAATATTTCCACAATTGGAGATATTTTTCTTGCTGATATTATCTACTTTTTAACATTTTAATACCTAGAATATTAATATATAACCTGTGTATAATATAATAAGTACTTTTTTCATGGTGGCAACCGATAAATAATAGTTTCAACATATACTTTATACCAAAAAAAGAACAGAATAATATAATATGACACATTTTATTGACAATCTGTCAACGATATCCCGCCATAATGGAAGCCATCTTTGAAAAAAAATGGCGCGTGGAATCTTATAAGTCATTGACTACAATTTCAATGAAATGAAGAATCTACATGATATTATCATTATTATTTTGTAACACGCCGTGTCATAAGGTCGTTAGGGTATCAGCAGACAGATAAATAAACGCCTGAGCCAACCATCAGCTCATGTTTACTAAAAAAATAACATAAACTATCATTTTGTGATTAAACTCTGATTGTAAGAACGGCCTAGCCCGCTGTTTAATTTTCATTATTCAAATTTATTGCGTTTTTAGAATATCGAAACTTTTCTGGGTATCTTTATGTAACTTAATGTGGTAATGTGGTTCAGTCGGGAGGCAGAATGTCTAATATCTAAATAACTAGATCTAGCTGTATAAAAAAATACTAAGACTAATAAAAATAGGTACATACTAGAGCCATTTAAACTCACATCCCTACTGGCCGACCATGGCCTAGGCCGACCGGGCTATGCAGCATAAAAACTTAAGATAGTATACCCCAAAGTCATAAAAATCTTGATTCTAAATAAGATCTATCTTCCTTCTTCAAAGAAATAAAATTATCATCTTTACTGCCTGGTACGGCTCAAAGTAGGAGTGGGAAATGTTTGGTTTTTATACAGGGTGTAAAAAGACACTTAACGAAAGCCACGTAGGTATTCTACCCATTATTTGGATCATTTTTTTCTTTAAGACCATAGCTGGGACTCCACTCAGCTTCTCGAGATATTGAAGGTCAAAGATGCATTTTTTATTTTTATTTTTTTGCGCAATCGAATTCTATGTATTACTACAAAACTTTTTTCCAAACAAACATTACCTGAATTTTCGATTTTTCTAAATAAATTACGCATTTGAAGTTACGAACAGTAATGTACGTAATAAATAAATGCAGACCCGCACAAAAAACATCGTGCATCTCAGTAGGATTTTTATTTTACAGATTTTTTTTGTTGTTGCGAAGTAAAACGTCGACCTACGTACTTATCACAGCGTTTTAATGCTAAGCTGTGAACCTACGCACACAATGACACGAAGCCCGTTTGCTTTACATTGCGCTCAATAAAATTATATTTTTTTTTATACCTAAATATAAAAGTCGTTTCCCAGTGATCATTTTAGCGTAAAGCTACTTAGTTAGAACCGCAGCATGCGTATTTAACGGCTTCGTTAAGTGTCTTTTTACACCCTGTATTAAGAGTGATATTCAATCTATTAGGGCTGAAGGACTCATTCAATTATCTCCACTATAAAATATTTTATGTATTATATAGGACACATATTATTTAGATATGTACAACAAGTCTGTCATGTTCTTTAATAAAAAACAATAAGTAGTTGATAACACACGCGTAAATATGTTTTATCAACCACCTACTAATTCAAAAATCCCCGTGCCTTCTCCTGGCCGAGATCTTATTCCTATGGTTTTCTTTTCTATTTTATTTAGATGTTGCTTTCTCATACGATAGTATAAAAACAAAGCTTAAAATAACATAAAAAAATTACAATTATTACTACAGGTTACTGGGAGATTGTACGGTCGAATTGCAAAATCTCATTTTTTACAGTTAATTACACTTTTTTATTTAAAAACTCTTTCGTCATCCCTCGATATACTAATATTGTGTTTATCTTTTTACAGCATAAAAGCATCGGATGGATCAATATTCCCCCCATCTCAACTGGACAAGGCAACCACGCTCCACGTCTTCTACCCCAACCTTTGCAGAAGACTGCCCTTCCAATATGAAAAGACTATTGAGGTGAGATAACTTCTATGACAACAAAGCCTGTCTCTACTTGCTACCCTTTCGCAATGACCCCGCTGAGGTTTGAACCCCACAGGCATGCGGTAATTCAGATTTTAGTAGCTCTTTGCCGAATTGGCTGGAAGACCTTAACTTGGAGGCTACCACACGGATTAGTCTTTTTGTATCGGCTTCATCTAGTTTTTCACATATAAATTGACGTGTAAAAGTGCCGTTTTATGGCCTATTTGCAAAAATAAATTCATTGTTTTTGTAAGGCTGGAAAATTATCGAATGACTCCTGTGTCCTCCTCAGGTGATACGGAAGGGAGTATCAGGCTCTTACTGACTAAATACCATCTGTGGTTTTATAGGCGAACGGACTCAATGCCCTGTGACGCTTTTTTTTAATGTGGTAGTTCGGCAAATGAGTTGACACAACGAGTTTGCCGACCTCTTGTGGTCTATTTGCGATTAAAGGATAGGATTTAAAGATTCAGGACGGGTGGAAGGATTGGACCGAAATACGACAATGTCGTGTTTCACGCTGGTTTTTTTTTTAATGTAATAGGTCGGCAAACGAGCACACGGATTACCTGATGGTAAGCAATCAGCGCCGCCCATGGACACTCGCAACGGAGGAGTTACGAGTGCGTTGCCGACCTTTTAGGGATTAGGGATTTGGAGATTAAGGGATTGGGTGAGGGGAAGGATTGGGCTTGGGCCTCCGGTAACCTCAATCACGCGGCGAAACACAACGCTGTGGTTATTTGACGCTGGTTTTAAGTAAGGTCATGATATCCCTCCGGTCGAGCAGACCCAATCGTGCCGAAGCTGCCAGGGGGAGCCATCCCCCACACTTTTCATCTTGTTGAATTAGTGCGTTATCATAAATCAACGTCTTTTTTATCTCTTTCCAGATAGTAGACGGGATTGAGCTGTACCGGTATAGAATGCCTATGAATGTCTTCGACGATCCTGGTCACAACCCTGAGAACCAGTGCTACTGTGAGATCGACACTGCCACCTGTCCTCCAAGAGGAATTATCAATGTCACCGATTGTACCATGGGTAAGACCTTTTTAGCGTGAATCCATACCTAACCTACATGCTGTTTTTTTTTTTTGACGTCATGGCTCGGTTAACTAACACACGGTTTAGTGGACCTGATGGTAAGCAATCAGCGCCGCCCATGGACACTCCTAATACTAAAGGAGTTACTACAAGTGCGTTGCCGGCCTCTTGTGAGTTCTTAGAGATTAAAGGATAGAGGATGAGAACGAAGAATTTATTTTTATTTTTTTAAAAGACCTTGCTCCACACTAGTATTTTCTCCTGTGTCGTGGTTGCGTTAACAAATATACAATTTCATCTACCCATCACTGCACGGTTGGCGCGGTGGCTGGGCAACTGTCTGCCGCGCAACGTGTCGCGGGTTCGATTCCCGCACGGAACAACTCTTTGTGTGATCCATAGTTTGTTGTTCCGGGTCTGGGTGTGATGTGCATGTGAAATTGTATGTTTGTAAACGACACAGGAGAAAATCCTAATGTGGGGGTGGCAACGTTTTTTTTTAAATAAAAGACCCGGAACAACTGGATCACACAAAGAGTTGTTCCGTGCTGGAATCGACACCACGTCACGTTGCGCGGCAGCCGGTTGCCCAGCCACCGCGCCCACCATGTAGTCGGTAACCACCTTCACACGGCGAAACACAACGTACACGCCGGTTTTCTGTGAGGCCGTGGTATCACTCCGGTCGATTCGGCTCATTCGTGCCGATGCTATGCAAGGCTCTCCCACACTTATCTATCTGATCATTTTTTTTTTTTGTGAGGGGAAAATCATCAAATGACTTCTCCCGCCCAGGGCCGGGCAGGAGGGAGTGTCAGACTCTTACTGACTTAAAAGCCCCCTGTTCCTTCTCCTGCTCTGTGCCGAGGTCGCGGTACCTCATTGCGCTTACCCCGCAACCCCGGCTGAACCTATCTGATCATGGCAGTTAATAATCAAATACGAGTATGTCAGTGATTTAAATTAAACTTTCAACTTTTTCAGGAGCCCCTGCCTTGGTATCATTCCCCCATTTCTACTTAGCTGATCCAAAACTTCGTGAGGACATAGTTGGACTGAAACCTGATCCATTGAAACACGATTCCTTCATCGATCTGCATCCTACTTTGGGAATAGCTCTCAGTGGAAAATCTAGGTAAGAACAGTTTTTCTTTCTTGTTCTATTTCTGATTTAAAAAGAGTTTTAGAATTTCTTCTTTCTCCATTGAAATCTACATTGTGGAACGAGCATTTAATACATTCACTAGACAACTGACCGACAGACTGACACTTTTTACTTGTCAGCTTTGTTTGGCATAAATGATTGTGACTTTTTTATTCGGCTGCTTCCTGCACGGCAAGTGAAAAGTGCTCTTAAACAGTTTATAAAATAGTTAATGAGTGACTGCTATAGCAGCAGTTGTAACGTAGTTCTTAAAATGGGAAAAAAAACAAATTAAACTAAAATAACAACAATTTGAAAATAAATTAAATGTATAAGATAATATTCTTGATAGGACTATCTATCTATCCAAAGATACCTAAATAAAACTAAATAATTATCGTCTTTTTTTATTTATTTTTTTATGTAATTCGGTCGGCAAACGAGCAGACGGATTACCTGATGGTAAGCAATCAGCGCCACCCATGGACGGCAACAGAGGAGTTACGAATGCGTGGCCGACCTTTTAGGGACTAGGTATTTGGAGATTTAGGGATTGAATTGATTGGGGGCGGGGAAGGATTGGGCTTCCGGTAACCTCACTCACACGGCGAAACACAACGCTGTGGTTGTTTCACGCCGGTCTTCGGTGAGGCCGTGGTATCACTCCGGTCGAGCCGAAGCATTCGTGCCGAAGCATGGCTCTCCCATACTTCACACAACACTTAGGGACTTTTGTAGGTAATTTTGACTATTTAAAGCTTACATTAGGTTGACGTAACTTCCATTTTAATTATAACATAACTTCCAATTACCTATATATTTAGGTATAATTGGCTGATGATAAACTCTTTCTTTTTTCAGTTTGCAAATCAATATCCAAGTTAGAAAGAGTGACATGTTCTCAGCCGTCAAATTCCTTCCCAACGGACTTATATTACCCGTGGCTTGGATTGAAATGGTAAGTTTTAAAGAATTACTTGCTGTATGCTCTTTATTATTATTTTTATTATGCAAGTAACGACTACACATTTTATTGAAATAAAATTGATTATTTAACCTAATTATTAATTGTGACATCTCGTGGGATTACCAAAAAAGTTGATTAATAGTGTCTGAAACTAGATGGCGTTGTTCTCAGAAATCATTTATGTCTGTCTTATTTTTGTCTTGAGTAGATATAGGGTAAAAAGTTCACAAACACGACATTATATTATCGTCTTTTCAAAAGAAACGTTTACCATAATCACCAGCCTATACAGAGACAAACTTGAAATGAAAAGCACTTGAGGCACTGAGTGCCCGGTCACCGTTTGTCAAAATAAATCATGAAAAATCTGTAATTTAATTTGGTATCTTTTTATTTTCAGAGTGTTGAAGAGTTGCCCGAAGGCCTTAGAACCCTAGTTTACCACGGGACCTACTCTACAGCAGCAGCACAGCTAGGATTAACTGTGATTTGCGTCATAGCATTCATTGGCTCCGGAGTTTGCCTACTCTGCACTTTCGCCCGACGAAAACAAAAGCCTTGTGCCACCCTAAAAGTGAAAATACCAACAGAAATCGAACTAAAAAACCAAATGTCTTGAGACAATAGTCTTCAAAAGTTGTGCTAGCCATACATTTTTATAATTGCAACATTCAAACCAAAGAAATAATGCAGCCATTTTAGTTTTCCACAAAATGGCGGGAACTTTTGGTGCCGTAAGTTTTTTTTATGTCATGTCTTTTTTGTGAAATTCTGACGGTTATTGTCAACAAGCTATTCTGTCGTAAGATTTCGTAGTTAGTAGAAATATAATTTTGACTAGAATCCATACGAAATGAATTAAAAATATATTTTTGGTAGCAAAACCTACATACTAAACATAAAATTAAGATATTTTTCATATTGTTAAAAAAGAAGAAATTACATTAGCTTATTATTGATCAAGAATTTGCTGCATTTATTAATTAATTTGGAAGGGAATTATAGCGAGGATGATAAATTAAGAGATTTTGTAAAAACTACTATTATTAAACTCAAAGTTCCATTATTTAAAAACATTATTTTAATTGATCCAAACCAAAGTAGTACAGTACAGAGAGTTACCATTTTTATAATGAGTACCAACCTACAATTAAGCTTGCTTTTTATATATTATTGTAATTCCAATATAAAAGTTTTTTAATGAGTACAATTAAAAGTATAATATTCATATACTTTAATTGTAATACATAACAAACTATGGCAAAAAAATGCTCACATTTGAAGGAGCACAGCTTTATAATAAAATACCTTCACGCATAGGAAACCTGCACTCATTCAACGCATTCAAAACTCAGCTTTACAAATATTTACTTCTAAATCAAATACCCGAAAAATGAATGTGTTGGATGGATCTTGTTTACTGTCATGTTTTGTCCAGATGTTGTCGAACCTAACCTTACTTACCTATGTTGTTATGTTCTCAAGTGAGTGACATGTATGTTATTATTGAGAATAAAGATTCTTTAAACCCGTAATATAAAATCTTTAATATAATTACGAAATCTGTGAAAAAATTGGGTACCGTGACCAAATATTACTTATATCTAATTTTTAGTAAAAGAAAACATGGAAAAGGAAATATCAAACAACGGCTGTGTCTTTTTTAATTTTAAATAACAGTAGTGTACCTATTTGTTTCCCAGGAAATATCGACATTGATAACAACAAAAACTGATCGCAATATCAAAAAAAAATATTTAAAAAAAGACTGTCCACGTGTACTTACTTCTGTATACATATAGCAATGAGATGAACTTTGATGAACCCTACCCTTAAAACAAACATGGGATTCATAAAACAACTGGCAGAATCTAGAAAACCATACCTACTATTCATTTTTTTATTCTATTTTTAATTCATTAGTTATCGACTTAGCGACTGATTTTCGTTGATATCAATGAGAATGCTGGCTTCATCTGACAAATGTATAATTATTAAGAAAAAAAAAATAGTTTTATAAATTTTATAAAATTGCTTATTTTTATACAAAATACAATTTCTTAATAGAGTTTATATAATGTTTATTTTTTAGTTACCTAGTGTAAATTACTATTTTAAATAAGAATGATTGTAAAGAATTTTGTTGTTTAGTTATTATAAGCGGGATTCGTGAATGTTTTAATTTTAAGTCATTTAAAAACCTTCTTCAGCGTTTAATTTAAATGTAGAGTAATTTTCCAATTAATAATTAAAAAACAGTGAGAGGATGAGAATCTCTATAACAAAAAATATTAAAATTGGTTTCGCTACTCAGCGGTAGATGTCGCTACTATTTCACGTTTGAAAATTTTGTAAAACTTATGTGAAAAAGTTTCTTGAACTTCATATTTATTGTTAATAAAAGTTTTTTAAACTAACTAAATTCCAGACAGATACGCTAGTATTGTATAGTAATTTAAATTATTTTTAATTATATAAGTTTAAATTTTGTAAAAAAAAAAGGAATTTATAGAGAAATACAATTAATTTTTAATTACAAACATGGAATTTTTATTTAAAATCTCAAGCTGGGCATTGCATTAGACACTATTACTATAACATAGTACTATGTCTGGTCAATATTTATAAATCACGCCTCGATGTTCCAAGGCTGTCCCGAAGGACGGGAATTGGGTAGTTTCCTAGATCAAAAATAAATAAATTCGACATTTCAATACAATAATAAGTATATTTAAAAATAACTATACTTTTATTCATCGATCTATCGATACACTAAGTTTTAGATATTTCATAGCTAATTATTAAGAAAAAAGTAAGAAATATTCTCTCGAAGTAGCCCAAAGAGCAGTAGAAAGGAAGCTGGTAGGCGTTACGCTGAGAGACCGTAAAAGAAACCAGTGGCTAAGACAGCAGAAAGTCAAGGACGTCACTTAGCATGTTGCGAAGTGGGAGTGGGCTGGTCAAGTTGCACGCAAACAGGGTTCGTGGTACGAAGCCGTGATAAAGTGGAGACCGTGGGGCGAAAAACGCTCACAAGGAAGACCACAGATGCGTTGGTACGATGACATCAAACGAACAGCTGGCACGAAGTGGGTACAAATTGCTCAAGACCGAAAGAGATGGCAGAAACTGAAGGAGGCCTACACCCTAAGGGTAGAAAAAGGCTAAAGAAGAAGAAGATTCTCTCGAAAGGTAGGTAGGCCGTCTTGACCGGAGTAATACAACGGTCTCATAGAATAGAGGCGTGAAGTTTTTTCTATGTAGTATCGATAAGCGCGCGCAAATGTCACACGAACTCTTAGAAGAGTGGCTAGAGAGATGCCATAGTGTCCTCACCTTTCGCCGGACGCTTGCGCTTAGGTACCTGTTCGGATCCGGCGGATAGCAACGCCCAGACGTCGTCATTTTGAGGACCAGCTGGAGGTTACAGTGGAGCATAGTGTGCCCTGCTCGAGCTAGGCGCCGCCATGCCCTGAGGGAAGTCCCCTTAGTCGAGCTAAATCAGGCAGCGTTGATACTTTGATAGCAAGCGCAAATAGATAACGTGACCTCAACCTTCAGTGGGAGAAGGACGGGATGTTTTTAGTCAGTAAGAGTCTGTACTGACGCGACTACTAGCTACTCTACTCTAGCTAGCTACTCTCGCGCGGTTACACTGGCTACTCGGCTCCATTTGATCGTAGCGATGTTTTAGCACTCAGGAACATTATAGCTATTTATCAGTGAAAGAATTTTATCCATCCGACCAGCGGTTCCAAAGATCTTATTATCTTATTTTAATATTAGCATATACCGTCAAACGGGGTGAATAGGGATCGTGGGGTGAATAGGGATCGTGGGGTGAATAGGGAAAAAATTGGGATTGAAATTACTATAGCAATATCTTTGACAATTGACTAACCACAGCTTATAAAATGGCAATAAATCAATATAGAATATATTTTTTTACTGGTAACTTTTATTTGACGTGAAGTTAGAAACAAATTGTCAAAACATCATTCTGAAGTTTCGTGTCTCTAACTAGGTACCTGCTATCGAAGTGTGTTTAATTTTAAAAAGTTTAATAGTTTTCGCGGTTAAATTGGTATGAATCGACTATCTACGTGCTTGGCGATTATTCTGGAGCCTGTATAACGTAATGTAAGTACAGTTGAAAAGTTTTTTAAATCGTATAATTATATTTCATTATGAGTGAGAATTTATTTATTGAATATGAGGTTTTTAGGTACGCGTACGGGGTTTATAGGTATGACTGAGGGGTCAATAGGGACGCCATATTAACTAAATAGGGACGATGCAGTATGTCTAGAGACAGTAAAGGGCCTATAGGACCAGGGTTGTCACTTGATTTATAGTCATTTAAAAAAGCTTGTATCTACCTACTCGCAATATACATTTAGTATTATTTCAATATTTTTAACGTGTAGCTTTCGACGAAACCAAAATATTGCTTAATAGTTTGAAGTATATGCCTTTTTTTTTGTACGTAATTCTATGCTATTGTATCTGCCAAGTTAACACCATTTGGATGCGGTTTTAGGTCCCATGTGCTGTTTAGAAGATCGTAAGCTTCTTTCGTTTTTGGTGTATAAATAATAATAGGATGGGAATGTACATTATTTACATAGCATGCTAGCTTGTTACGATTATATTTCATTAATCTTGTTTCAGATTCCTAACTATCAATAATGCCGCGAACATATAAACCAAGTCATGAAAAAACATATAAGAAATATGACGAGCTACTCATGGAACAGGCATTAATCGAGTACAATACCACTAATAAGACTTTAATAGAGATTTCAAAAAAATATAATATATCCAAATCGGTGCATCATAGGCACAATACTTTTATAATGAAAAAACAAGGTGGACAAACTGCATTAGCACCAGATGCAGAAGAATACCTAATCCAATATATCAATGTTTGTTCCGAATGGGGATATCCCCTAGAAATAATAGATTTCCGACTCCTAATAAAGGGGTACCTTGACAAGTTAGGAATTGAAATAAAAAAATTTAAAAATAATATGCCCGGTCCTGACTACGTTAAATGCTTTTTGAAACGACATAAAAGTAAAATTACTACTAGACTAAGCCAAAATATAAAACGATCAAGAGCAGCAGTCTGCCCAGAGGTAATAGAAGCTTATTTTAATGAGTTAGAATTGTCATTACAAGGAATTCCTTTATGCAATATTGTAAACTATGACGAGACCAATTTGGTGGACGATCCAGGAAGAAAAAGGGTTCTAGCAAAAAGGAGTGTTAAGTATCCAGAGAGAGTAATGAATCATACAAAAGGTTCAACCTCCATTATGATGGCTGCTGCTGCAAATGGAACCTTATTACCACCGTATGTGGTCTATAAGGCTCAACATGTATACGACACATGGAGACAAAACGGTCCAAAAGGTTGTCGTTATAATAGTACTAGTTCTGGCTGGTTCGATGGAATAACATTTGAAGACTGGGTGAGAACCATCGCTTTCAAATATTTTGAAGATAAGTCTGATACAAAAATTCTTATAGGTGATAATCTCGCTTCTCATCTTTCAATCGAAATAATAAGTGAGTGTGAAAAACGTAATATTCGGTTCATTTTTTTACCGGTAAACTCTACCCACCTTACCCAGCCTTTAGACGTGGCCTTTTTCAGACGTTTAAAAAGTGCTTGGCGGCAGATACTTTATAATTGGAAAAAAACAGACGGTAGAGTGCAGGCTACTATACCCAAAAATATATTTCCGTCGCTTCTTAAAAAGCTTATGAAAGAAATAGAAAGCAATTTACATAAAAATATAATAGCTGGGTTCGAAAAGTGCGGCATTAGTCCGATAAATAGAAATAAAGTTTTAGATAGACTACCAACTGCAAACCTGGAAGCTAGAAATGAAAATTATAAAGAAGTAATTGATCAAACTGTTCTATCCATGCTCAAAGAAATGAGGTACGGCACAAGTAGCGTCAAAAAAAAGAAAATAGATGTTATTCCAGGAAGAAGCGTAGAAAATGTAATTTCGCCAGAAGAAACAGAAGACCTCGACACGATAAAAGAATCAAGTGATGATGAGAGTAATACAGAAGATATTCAAGGTAATAATTTAAATACATTTAATTTAAACGTGCTGGAAGAACCTGGTCCCAGCAAAGGCAAAAAAGGTAATAGTAAGTTTACGAAGAAGCAAAATAAAATTACACAAAAAGCATGCAGGACCCAAAAGGAAAAAAGTAATCTTACATGTAATAAATTTGACACTGAAGCTGAAAACCAAACAGGAAAAGTTGCGGGAAAAAAGACCAACAATCCATCGCTTGTGAAAAGAACTAAAATACAGTCAGAAACAGGTGATACGAAAACAGATAATGTAAATATAATTAACGACAGCACAAAACTTAACGTGTCCTCTGAAACTGAGAAGTTAGAACCGATATTCAAGAAACCTTTTACTCCACCACCAAATAATGAGAATCAGTTAGTTGGTTACAACTTTGAAGAAGGTGATTATACTACGGATTATAGAAATCTAAATATAAATGCGTTACCTGTGGTTTTTGATGACTTTTTTACTATAAATGAAGAAGTGGAATTACCTTCCGAAGAGGTAAAAGAGAAAGAAAACATAAACGTGAACAAGAGGGTAAGACCTTTCTCACCCTCTTGTTCACGTTTATGTTTTCAATCTGACTCTCCTAATAAAAAAATTAAAATAATATCAGAAGAAATGGTATATAAACCGATCAAAATAAATAAATTACACAAAATAAGCTTATCTGATACTATTGTAAGTAAAAAACCAAAGTTTTATAAAAATGAAACCGAAATATTACATGATCTCGTGGATGATTATTTTTAAGTAAATATATTTTTTATTGTTGATTAGCTTTTTGTTGTTCGTATAATTATTTGTTTATTATAAGAGGCTGTTTTAAGTTTTTTCATTCATTTTTATATATAATATATATATATCTATATAAGATTGTGATTGTGATTTTGAGACCGTAACTTTCATTGTATAAGAATGTGTGTTTTAATAAACTATATGTTCATAAAATATTAGCTTTATTCACCTTACCTAAAACACATAAGTACTTACTTTAAATTATCTTGGCGCGCGGTGCAATGTGTGCCGCACACAAAATGCACGCACCAAAATGCGTTAAAGAATTTTGTACTTGAATAAACAATTTATATTAACAAAATGTGACAACCCTACCGGTTTTTCCCTTATAATGCCAATCACCGTCCCCATTGACCCCATATTGTGTTTGAATAGGGACGACGTATAATTTTTAGAAATAATTAAAACTGGATACTTTCATGATTTAGAGTTAAGTTCTTAAGAATATTCCGGTCGGGACTCAAGTTTTGACACCAAAATCAACAAAATATTTTCAAGGATAATTAGTGATAAATGTGTTCAAAGTTCAATTCTGTGCCTATTCACCCCGTTTGACGGTAGGTAACAAAATGACAACATGTCCTATTTTATGTTTCAATTTTGTCTCCTTGTACCTATGTGCAAATGAGTTGACAGATTTCCTGATGGCAAGCTACCGGCGCCACCCTTTTCGGAATTGGAGTTTCAGAGATTTATAGCCTAGTACGCGGCACGAACAGTGGTCAGATAATTTCGTTGTGGGAAGCAAGTTTGCGCATTGTATATTCTAATAAATAAAACAAAAAATACTATTTATACTGTTTATTATTATTAGATATAAGTAGATTCCATTATTATTAAACAATTAATCCCCATACTGCCGATGTTATTCTTCAACTGCGCCTTTCCATTCTGTAAGCAAAGTTTAATGGTTAACAGGTGCCTCTTGATGTAATGGTGATTAATATTTTAAAATATTTTCAGATAATAAATCAAAAGGGAACAATAGTTTTCATCAAATATGTATCATTGCGAGCTAGGTGGATCATCATTGTAAAATACAATAAAAAAATATTTGAACAAGTTGGTGTAGCGACAAAAAAAAACAAATGTGATAAAATGATCGAATCGTATCACCAACTTAATCAAATAAAATAAAATATAAAAATAATGCTCACCTTTACGGTAGTAGGTATGTTTAATCACCAACAGATTAAATTGAAATAAAAAGACACAAAATTCAGTTTTTTACATGTATATTAAACTTAAACGCTCTCTTGAACGGGAGGTTCGTAGCCTTCAGGGCGCTCCGACTTATCACCGGCTTCGCCTCTCTTGCCACTACCACCTTCACCATGAAGCTCCATAAGCTTGGAGATCTCGAAACGCGGCCTCTTCAGAACCTTAACCTGGGGATTAAAGTTATTTTGTCAGTCGGTGGTTATTGGTCAAGTGGTGATTAATGATTTTCTGGATTATTTCAGACAATAAATCAAAAGGGAACAATAGTTTTCATCAGGTGTGTATCATTGCGAGCTAGGTGGATCATCATTGTAATCATAGTTTTGTTGGCCGAGCTGATAAATCTGTTTCATAAAAAAAAATTATGTTTGTGACAAAAATTTCCTAATTAGCATAGATGTATCAACTCAAAGCCAATACAACCGCATGTCAATTGTTTAAATTTAATATAATCTTCCTTAGCAGAAACAAAGAACAGATTTCTACAATACTCCTTAGCAAAAAATCTTTTAACACAAATAAAAAATGTCCTAACTCAGTAGAAATAAATAGTTCAAAACTCAAAGGACCGTTGAATACCTTGACAAATTCTTTATAGTAAATATTTGTGAAAGGATAAATTAATAAAAAAGAAATGGCATTTTCCCAATGTCTTGACATGCAGTTGTAATCTTGAATATAGACATAAAACTATCGTTTTTCAGTACATACCTTCCTAATGCAGACATCCCTAAGAGGGTAGATGCCGCGGCACGCATGCTCGATATCCTTGGCAATGGAGTCCGGGATCAGTTTGTTGACGACCTCACGGAGTTCAGAGTTGGTGACATCACGGGTGATGATTTCACACATCTTCTTCCTGATAGCACGGACCTGGTAATCAACGGATTGAAGTTAGCAGTGTATTTGATTTTGACTATAGGTCAGAGTATCTGGCTAGTGATTATAAGCATAGCTATGCTTAGTAAATAAGCAAGAGTGACCTATAAATATAAATAATTAATAAACTTTTTATTATTACTAGGAAATAATTTCTTTTTGTGATTTATAGTCAAAAATAACAAGTAAAGATTTTTTTTTCAAAATACAACTTTCAAATAATGAGTATTATGGAAGGGACAAAAGAAATAATGTAGTTCCTTTTTCGTTTCTTTCCTTATATCACAGACTATGCATTTAAAACACATGGCAAATTTTTCTCCCTTACACAAATCTTATGATAATAAATATACACCATACAGTAAAAAAATAAAAATTATCACATGCACATATACATTGAATGCTTAATATTTAAGAGAGGAGTGTGTCAAGACCACGAAAAGCCAAAGGCACGCCCGAGAGCCGCGTTCGTGGTGATGATCTCGAGTATAATGTACGCAGCGGACAGGATGCAGTTATACAAGGCAAGAGGAAGACCTAGGCCCTGTATAAATGCTAACTGCGAGTTTTTTAGTGCCTGATATATAGTGACTGGTAATTATTCTTACATAATCAAACCAAGTAAATAAAATATGTACCAAACTTTCTTTATGTGAAACTGATTTAAAAAGGGTAATCATGGAGTTTCTGGCTCATTCTTCTCCATCGTAATCTACATTTTGGAATGAGCAGATCGCTTCACTGACCGACAGACTGACACCTCATATCTTTAAAAATTTGTTTGACGTTTAACTGCCTGTAAGGGTCTAATTGAAATAAATGATTTAGACTTTAAGTTTGAATTAGTTTCAGATTTATAAACACGTGATTGTATTATTATTATAACAAACGCAGCGAGCTGGCCTCGCCGCTAACAGATTGATAATGATGAGACGAACGGCGGGCGCGTAAAATTTGTTCGAATAAAAATAAAACTACACAAAAAAAGTTTCATTGGGAAAGTTGTTATCATGAGTTAAAATATCTCTAATTATTGTAATGTCACTAATTACCGCTGACCCTATATATTTCATGGAGTTTATTTTTGTTTACAGTTAAATTTAAATCTATACATTTATTTCAAAATCATTTATTTCAATCAGACCACAATAGGCACTTTTGAACGTCAAGCAAAAAAAAGGGGTCGACTAACATAACAAAAGAAAGAGTTATTTGTTACGGGAATGGAACCAGCGACACGTTCCGCTGCAGCCGATTGCCGTCACAGCCAATCTACTACTTGATATCCAAGAAAATATTAAGTTTATTTGATTTCTAAAAAAAATTTATAGCAACTGTACCTGGGTGTGCTGGGCGTAGCAGGTCTTGCGCTGGCTGAGCGAGTCCTTGTTGGTGAAACCAATGCAGAAGACACGGAGCAGGTATCCGTCCGTAGTCTTCACATCAATGTTGGCCTCAACAAGAGTCTGCCATTTCTTAACCATCCATCTGTGAGTAAATATTATAAAATTAATATACATAGATTGATGCTATTGGTCTTAACAACAGTTAACTAGAGCTTAGCTACAGTTAACTAGGAGTACATCTATACTAATATTATAAAGAGGTAAAATTTGTAAGTTTGCATGTAGGGGTAATCTTTGGACCCCCGGTTGATTTCCAAAATGCTTTCACTGATAGATAGCTACAATGTTTCTGAGTGCTATAGGCTATAAAACATCACGCTACAATCAAGTGGAGCCGATTAGCGAGTGAAACCGCGCGGGAGTAGCTAGTACTTAACAAAGAGGCAACAGAATTCTCCAATTAATGCTGTAAACTTGATTTCTCAACACTCATTTGTAAAACAGGCCGTTTGGTCTTTGGTTGGCTGATAACAAATGAATGATTATAATTTGTACTCCATTTTGTTAAGGAATTCATATATGACAAGCACAAATTGTAAATCATTGTACATATTGCAATTAGTTTTAGCTTACTTATAACTATATACTTAACTACATATGTCAAAAGGGCGAGTAAAAAAACTATTGTTTCTTTGTGTGAGACATATTCGGTCATATTCACAATTAAATTTAAGGCATATTTAAGTGATAAGAAAAATATATTTATTTCACATTCTTGAACTAAGTGCAATATGAACGACGAAATGTGCGGTTCTTGTTAACTTTTGACATTAAACTACTGGTATACAGCCCGCGCCAAACTTTGTGACCGCCCCAAATATAGTCGAGAGTCCGAATTTAATCAACCAATTTTCGTTTTCTAACATTTTTAATACTGGTTGATTACGTATATAAACTAATATTGGTGACCTGACTATATTCAGGGCGGCCACAAAGTTTGGCGAGAGCTGTATAAGAATGTAGCGACGACACAAGGTACCAGTGTACATAAAGTAGAAGGGCGGTTCAGTGCGGTAGCATTTACTTTCTGCAGACTAAAACGATATGAAGACCACATGGTTTTTCTTCATATAGCTGGACTGCAGTAATTGAATACGGCTTTTATATTATTAGGGGTTTACTATGTGATTTGGAGTAGAAGGAGAGAGACCTCTTGTTGAAGGAGGCCTTTGCCAAAAGGCCACTGCAATCTTAAGTCAGAACAAAGGGCTTATTGAAAGAAAATGCTGAAAGATATCGATCGGCCTCTTAAAAAACCGCCGTGAAGCAACTCTTGCGTTGTTTCGCTCGCCATGTGAGTGAGGTTACCGGAGGCCCAATCCTTCCCCTCCCCTAATCCCTAAATCTCCAAATCCCTAATATGTTGGCAACACACTCGTAACTCCTCCGTTGCGAGTGTCCATGGGCGGCGATGATTGCTTACTATCAGGTAATCCGTGTGCTCATTTGCCAACCTATTACATACATAAAAAAGGCCTAATTCTTCCCCCTTTTCCCACCCGCAATCCTCAAACCCCCTATTCTTAAATTCCTATACAACAAAGAGGCCGGCAAAGCACTTGTAGTAACTCCTATGGTTATAAGAGTAGTATGAGTGTCTATGTGCGGCGCTGATTGCTTAGGTACAGGTAATCAGTCCGCTCGCTTGCCGAGCTATGACATAAAAAAGAAGTGATAACACACCTGAGCTTGTCAGTGGTGAGGTCCATGCCGTGGAAGTTGCAGAGAACATTGCGACCCTGAACATCTTCAGCGATCAAACGGAACTTGCGGAAAGACCTGAAGACAAAAATGTTTTGTTAATTTTATGCATTTCTCTTATCTGTATCTTCTATGAAACCTATGGAGTAATTTATGAGATAATTGATAAAAGAAACTTAAACAAAAATGTATTATTTCACTAACTCAGTAATACCTAATTATTAGTTAAAAGTAATTACCCGACTTACAGAGGCTCTTAATATTTTATTTATTATATTTTTGTAACATCTAACCTTATTTGTTCTAAAATAAACATTATTTCAAAGTGCATTTAACCAAATTCACAAAGTTCTGTGAATTTATGTTATTGTGACAAATAAATAATGATTTGATTTGTTATAAATACTTCATTTCCTGTTTACAATCGTATGTACACATAGTACACATACCTATGTATGTATAAATGCATGTAGTATTTTGAAAGGAACTTCCATTCAACTAAGACTAGGATAAAGGAGAATTAATTTAATTTTGTTATGATGAATCAATTAAATTAATGTTTGTAGCGACGACACAAGGTACCAGTGTACATAAAGTACAAGGGCGGTTCAGTGCGGTAGCATATACTTTCTGCAGACTAAAACGATATGAAGACCACATGGTTTTTCTTCATATAGCTGGACTGCAGTAATTTTACTATTTAGTTCGGTACTTTATTTGGTTTGAAAAATAAAAAACGGCAATAATAATATAACCGTAACTATGATGGTATTAAACCATTAGCTTGAACAATTGAGCTAGGCTTTTGCAAAAGCTAGCAGAAGTATGTCCTTTGTTTCCAAAGAATTTGAGGATAACCCAGTTTGTTAATTCATCAAATCTTCACTATGGGACCTCCCTAACCTTTATCTTAATTAAAATGATGCTTACTACACAAACCACATTATCCTACTACAAAATAACATTTTGATTTTAGTCTCCTCTTCATCTGTTAATTCTGGTGTGCTTTGTCTATGGCAACAAGTAAGAAGTATTTCTATACTACTATTATAAAGAGGTAAAACTAAGTTTGTATGTAGGAGGTAATCTATGGAACCGCTGGTCGGATTGCCAAAATTCTTTCACTGATAAGTAGCTACAATGTTCCTGAGTGCTATAGGCTATAAAACATCACGGTACGATCAAATGGAGCAGAGCAGTGGGTGAAACCATGTGAGAGTAGCTGAGTAGCTAGTTATTAATAAATTGATGTAGGTTACCGACAACTCACCTTTCTGCGTCAGTGTCAGCTTGAAGATCGGCCAGCGAAACTTCAAAGACACGGCCCTTCAAACCCTCAGAGGCGATTTTGGTACCCTAGAAACCAAAATACAGAGATTTTTAGGTAAAATACTACAAACATATGTTGGAAATGTAATTTTATTGATTAATCAGAATTAAATCAAAAGGGAACAATAGTTTTCATCAGATATTTATCATTGCGAGCTAGGTGGATCATCATTTTGGGGTTTAGAATTTAGTCATGGACAATGGTATACAAACTCTATGCTGATCTTCGGTATTTTAGTAAAAAGGTTCTATGTTACGTTAATAACATTAACTAGCTTGAAAATATGAAAACTGCATTAAATAATTATTTAGAAGGTTTACATATAGCATTTGTTGAGTAGTTAAAAACTTTTAAAAGAACTAATAATGAACTATCAGTCATCATCAATAATTATTTGCAGTTTGATTGTTAGAGACATGTGGTGTTTATATTTCATGTATAAAAACAATAATCAATACAAGATAAGGGTGTGTAACCCTGTAATTTTCAGAAAAACTAATAATATTACTAAATCTGATCACAAACAACTTAAAACCGGTGGGAGATTGTTTGAACTTTTACTTCTGTTAAGGTTATGCACAAGTCTAGGATTTAAATGGAGCCTTAAACAACCATGTGGTATTTGAATGGATAAAATATACATCTTTCACATTGATTTCCCGGGCCACATGACCATAAAGTTTGTATCTTGTAGCAGTAAGTAGTACCCAAGTCCATGACATCAAAGTAAAAGGTCTAAAAGAGGTTAGAAATGACCACATACCTGAGTACGGTTGACAAGGGTGGTTCCCACTTGTCTCTTGGTGAACATAGACGGTGCCTTGACATCGTACCAATCTTTACGGGTGAAGGGATCAACGCTGAAAAATTATAACAATTATACATAACCTCAAAATGTTACAACCAAAAACTCACCAAATTCCTCGAGAAATATACATTTATGAATGCCATTTTCTTAAGAACACATATAACATTAATAACAAAGCACTAGAACTAGCAATTCACTGATAAAATTAAAGTTTTAACATAAAAACACCATGACACGAGACCGTCTAACTTATATCCAAAAATATTCGCGACATCACATCAAACACAGATTCGGTTTTGGGTTTAGCGGAAACATAATTATATTCCTCGATAAATTAGAGGTTTATTGGAGACTTACATCTTCTTCTTAACACCCTTTTTACCGCCTTTCGACAGGCCTTTATTTTTACCAACCGCCATGTTCACTATCTAACTTTAGAAAGAATTTATTTTGTTTATGGATGCGGGAGGCAGAGGTGAACTGTCCAACGACAACATAGAGTAAGCGTAACTCTACAATCGATTATCGACAAAAGTAATCTACTTTTTAGTCGATTTCAGTAAACATTACTAAATTCATGCAAATCGAGATAAAAATATTAAGTAATGTAGGTATATTATTTTAGGCACGTGGAATACCTTTGTTCTTTCTTAAATATATTATCAAACAATTCTCTTTAATGTTCAATTACGATAACATACTTAAATAATATCACCTTTTTTAAATGCCCGTTGCAATTCGACTTTTGTTTTTATTTATATAGCATAGATGTCTAAGGAATAAGTATGTACCTAACTTATGTTTCATACCATTAATAATCGTTTAGATATATCACCATGAAATATCATATAACAGCTTATTTTATGAATAATTCTAAAATATGTATATATTAAATTTTTGAAGTATGTAAGGATGTAATTACTGTGTCGTGTCCATTAAAGTGTCTCTAACTATACGTACAATGGCGCCTACAAAAATTAACATTGATAATAATAATCAGCTTTACTATGATAGCTTGCGTAAAGACTTAATCAGGCACTTTTGTATAAAAAATACTTAAAAACTGTTGTTAAAAACACAATACTTAAATCGTTTCAAGTTTTACTTAACACAAGAACGCCATAGGTTATTTAATTTTGTCTTACGGAATAGTTAAGCTTGTCTATAGAAGAGTATTGTAAGTACATACCTAATTATGTAGATAAGTCACAAATAAAGAAATTTATTGAATTAATTTATGTCGTGAATGAAAACATTATAACATCAAATAGATACCTAACGTATTTAAGTACATAAGTATTTTAAGAATCTTCGTATGGTACTGGTAAGTACGTGTTTTTTGTGCCATGGTGTGTCGTGTCGCGCCAGAATCGGTGTCCTATGTTCATTGAGGCCCTATAGGGCTGATGTTCAGCCGGTGTTGCGGGTTAAGCGCAATGAGTCACCGCGGCCTGAGCCCAGAGCAGGAGAAGGAGTGGGGGTGAAGTCAATAAGTGTCTGACACTCTCTTTCGCCTTACCCAGGGCGGGAGAGGTCATTTGATGATTTCCCCGGACAAAAAAAGTATACTCTAGTTGAGTACCCAAATAGTCAACAGACGTCGAAGGATGAACTAGGAGCCCTATAAAATAAAACTATTTTGAAGATTTCTTTTTACTTAAACACCAGCATGAAAAACTAAAAAAAAATTATTTATTTTTTTATTTAAAATGAATGGAATGAATGAAATTGTGATGGATGAAAATGGAATGAATGAAAATGAATCCAGAATGGAAACAACGTCCGTCGCCACCGAAGCCCGGGCACCCTGTTATAGCAGCTGTAAGACCCCCCTTTGAGGAGTGGCTTGAGAGACGCCAAGGCCCATCACCTTCCGCCTGAAGCAGGTGCTTACGGGGCACTGCAGCTTCGATAGGTACCTATTTCGAATAAGCCGGGAGGAAACGCCTGAGTGTCGTCATTGTCAGGACCACCCAGAGGACACGGTGGAGCATATGGCGTATGCCTTACTTGGGCTGAGCACCGCCGTGTCCTCAGGGAAGTGATTGGTGGCGACAAGCTCTCGCGTTCCGCCTTAGTCGATGTCCTGGGAAGCCATTTCCTCTTTCTGTGAAGCATATGATGTTATGCTCACAAAGAAGGAGGCAGATCGCGTGAGGGAACTATCCTCTTCCTCACGCCACAGTCGCCACAGTAGGCGACACTCCGGACATCGACGGTCTCCGGGCACCGAGAGCGTTGCTAGCTCAGTTCATCTCGGATAGGCTTCAACAAAGGCCGTTCGCATCCCTTTTTTTGTCAATAAAGAATTAATCACGTGAATTAACTGAGAAAAGCTCTACTAGCTTCAAGTCAACGACGACTGGACTCGTATTTGTGAGCAACGGATGCGTCACGGCGACGCAAGTTGCGCCGCCAACTGGTATTACAGCCGACAACTAGTCGACTAGTAGGAAAACTTTAATTAATGATAAAAAAAAATGAAACGTTTTCCGGCGCGACTTGACTCACAGAAAACACACCTACAACTTGCCCGTTGCCCAGCAACTACGGCTGGACATCGGACCGAGCTATTTGGCCCAGTCTGAAATAACAATCACATCGTGTGACCCAAACAAAAAATATTTTTTTTCTGTCATTTCAGCGGAATAGGTGGATATTTCTTTAATTAAAATACGATATTACCAACCTAAACAAACACGGTCGGGTTTTTAGGAATAGGTGGTACTTAGGCACCTTATTTTTTTAATTTATAATCAAGGTAAAAGTAACAAGATTTATCTACCAGAGATACGAGGGGATTCTTTACGAAGTCATTAATTATTATGAGTTAAAAGCTAACGCCAAGGCAATTTAGACCTAAGTGCGAAATAACTAACTTGTGATAATATGATCTCGTATCTCGTAGAGGGGTTCGTCCAAGAATATTATATAGAACACTGGATGTTGCCCCTAGAAGAAATTATTGAATCCGAGTTTATTCACCTTTCGTATGTTTTTTATCTCGCTCACACTTGAATAAAATGTTGCCATAATAAAATGACTTTTTACCTTGGTAACTGATCATAAATATATTACCAAAAGAGAGGCACACATATTTTATGTTTATTTCGAAATCCAAATATCAGCCTTAAAAATTTAAACAATTTAAAAGTTATTCATAGTTAATTCAGGCTATTTTAAAGTTGTTTTTTTATTAAAATTATTTTTAAGTTTACCCACTTTTAAACTTTTAACGTGGAGTTCAAAACTTGTAACACTGTTGGGGTAGTATTATCCAAAATGGCTACTCTGTCAATTACTTTTCGACTACTCGAAGTGTTTGACTGAAGTATTTCGAGGATTTGTGAATTAATTTAAAGTGCCTTATTATGTATTGCGTAGTCAAAGATTTTACAAGTGTATGGAACCCAACATCAAATGTCATCTTTCACAGGTAAGTCCAGAAATACCATATTTTAAGTTATACATTATCGTTACGTATTTTATGCCAATATTTAAAAAATCAGTAAATATTTACGTTCGAAACGGTGTCACAAATATTTTTCTAGTAATCTTTGTCATCGTTTAGAAATTTATATGCGTAAATCGCATTTAATTATTAAAAAACAGGTACGTTTAGTCTTAAACGTCAAAATTATGTGTTTGTAAACAAAGAGCTAAAGAGTGACCATATTTTTTAAGTTAGGTAGATACTTTTTGATTTGTGGAATGGTTGAATTTTATGTAGGCCTCGTTGCTCTTATAATGAGACTAACGTATTATATCTGAGGGTAAAACAGAAAGGTCTTCAAATTTTAATAATTAAAAGAGTGTCAAAACTAAGTTTAGAGCTGTCCTGCTATTTTGGTCTAATTACAGTAAATTAAATCAGTCAACTCGGTTAATATACAATTAATTTTATGTTTCAGTTTTCTCAAGGACTCGGAAAAAAGGCAGAAATGGTTGTCTGCTATTAAAAGGGAAGTTTTATGAATCAGCAAAGATTTGTAGCTTACACTTTAAGCCGGAGAATTATGATCCATTAAGACCAAAAAGGCTTTTAAATAGTGCTGTTCTGGTTGATTCTGTACAATTATGCTCCTGTGGTAATAACGTTATGGTAAGCATTTTTTACATTTCACAATGTGCTGCTTACCCATCCAACAACCATGTTGAGAATAATATTTCAAATTACAGGCATGTAAAACGCCATTCAAATGCTTGGTTTCACCTAATGCAATGATACCGACAGAAACTGATACTTGTTCCACAATGTCAGGAAAAGAACACAGCTATTGCGAAAAGGACATACACATCATACAAAATGAAAATATTGTAAGTATTTAACTTATTGTCTAGTATTAAGGTATGTTTTTATCCTTTTCAAAATTTGCTGCTTACATACCTAGCAATCATGTTAACAATAATATTTCAAATTACAGGAAAGTACAACGCCATTCAAGTGCTCGGCTTCATCAAATGAAACAATACCAACGCACAACACACACACTGAAAATATTGTAAGTATTTAATTTATTGTGTAGTATTAGCTTGTACTTATGGCATAGAAGTCAAACCAAACCTTCAACATCCAGGTTAGGTGTTTTTTGGTTTTTTCACGATGTAGTAAGCTCATGATAGACATTGAGACCTTTTGATCATCTTAGTTGTTACTGATTATAATCTTTGTTCCACAGGTAGTTAATGAAAATGAACCGCCAGCGAAACGACGCCGCTTAAAAGATTTTAATGTTCAATGTAAAATTAAATTCACTGCGGGAAAAGTGTTTGGAAAAAAAGAAAAAAAATTACAACAAAAAGTTGCGCGAAATGAACAAAAAATAAAAGATTTGAAGTCGTTAGTAAACATTGTTCGTTTTTTTTGTAAAATTTTATGAACTCATACATAGTTCATAAAATTTTACAAAAAAAAAATTCGTGACTTTTGTCATCATTATTAACTACCGAAAATGAAAAAAAAGATGATCATGATTATTTGTTAATATTAATAGACATTCTGCGTTTACGACCTTTGTAAATAGAGGTAAATTATGTTTCGCATCTGATGCAGCGTTCAAGGTAGTCCGCTACTCAGATAGTTTGTTTAAGCACTCGGTATCCAAAAGTATACTGCTTCACAGCAAAACTAATAATTTGCAATCAAAATTAGTGTTAGCGGTCCTGGAAAAATGTTATCCATTGTTGCAGGAATTATTTGTGCCTAAACATCCAATCACTGATACTTGTATGGATTTACACGAAACTTTTTATTTTTTTATGTAATCGGTCGGCAAACGAGCAGACGGATTACCTGATGGTAAGCAATCAGCGCCGCCCATGGACAACCGCACCGGAGGAGTTACGAGTGCGTTGCCGACCTTTTAGGGATTTGGGATTTGAAGATTTAGGGATTGAGGAGGGGTTGAGCGAGGGGAAGGATTGGGCCTCCGGTAACCTCACTCACACGGCGAAACACAACGGTGTGGTTGTTTCACGCTGGTTTTCTGCGAGGCCGTGGTATCACTCCGGTCGAGCCGACCCATTCGTGCCGAAGCATGGCTCTCCCACACTTAAAAATAATAAAATATGTTTCGAAACTGAAATAATAAAATATATTTCGAATAGTTTTTTAAAATAAGAATTCATTCTTATCTGAAAACTTATACTCAAAGGCTTTTGGGTGAGATTCGCACTAAAAGGCAAAAATTGCATAAAACTGTTTTATTTTCACACGTGTGATATAAACTTGTGATTTTTATTAATAAAAATGATTTTGCACTGTACTGACTTTTTTTAAATATCCCCGGTACGGTCTGACGGCAACCTACCAACTATTCACCATCCGCTAGCCCGCGCCTATGGTGGCTGAAAAACGAGATCGGGATCCTATCGTCAACACACATGATCTTACATTCGCCCTCTGTCAATATGTATAGACATTTGTTATTACCTATTTAAATAAAAAGGACTTGATACTAGACTTTAAAACGAGGACTTGTAACTGTTTAAGGAAATTTATTGAATGGTTGATATCGTGTGAGAAGTGATATGGAAGACAGAGGAGTTAGCGATAGCGTGACGAGTGACAGGACAGAATGGAAGAAAAAAACGCATTGCGCCGACCCCAAATAAAACGGGACAAGGGCAGGAAGATGATGATGGTTGATATCGTGGACTGGTAAGGACTTATAAAATCAAATAGGTATTGGCTTTTAGCTGCAAGTAATTTTTAAGCTTAAATGGAACTTATCAGCTTGACTTGTTTTCAAGGGGTGTTTTTGAAAGAATACCTATCATTATAATTCTTATTGTTTACATACGTAGTATATCTTTTTAATTTGTGTTGCTTACCTGACAATTTTAATATCTTTTCATTTGTATCAAGTTTAATATCTAAAGAAATGATATCTAGATATAGCAGTATTACTGTTAAGTGTTAACAGTTGTGTGTATACGTAAGTACTCTTAAGGGTGTATTAAGATAACATGCGCTGCACACGCACAGCATCCGCGCACGCTTTGTGCTCGCCTTAGACCTAAAACATACACAAGCGACGTAACGCGAAGGCACGGGGCCGGCGCAGCGCAGGCGTTGGACAATTCACAAACATGCGGTAAAAACTCATTAAAACATCTGTTATTCCAAAATCAAAATCGATCTTCGGGGCACCAACCGTTGTTTCCTTATCAGCACAAGAACATAGTTCAAAGCAAAAACCAACAGTTTCTACATTTAAAAAACGTTTCTGGCCATGAAATGTTGACAAATATTTTTTATAATTTTTATGTAATGCCAATAAACATCCTAAGGTACCCTCAACGCATACGGTATGTTGGTGGCATGACGTAGTTTTCTCCATCAACGCAAATGGTGTGTTGGTAGCAACGAATGGGATAAGGAATACATACGACAGACAGACAAACATTTTAGCCATTGTATTTTTAGCATCAGTATCGAGTTATCGACTACCAACCCCTGATAGTTATTTTGAAAATATATTTAATGTACAGAATTGACTTCTCTACAGATTTACAATTATATGTATGTATAGATTACTAAACCAAAACTAATACGATCGAAAACCACACTAAAATAGAAATGTTGAATTTAAACAATCATAAATATGTACAAAATATCCTAAAGCTAGTAAAAATAGTTGTCACCCTGATGAAAGAGATGCAAAACATAAATGACGTGTTTCAAGGTCATTTTATTAGTCCTCAGTTCTTTTTTCTTGGTGCAACATCCAGTGTACTTTATAATATTCTTGGGTTCGTCGTACTAATCAGAGAATGAGTCATAAAAAATTAACACCCATTCATTCACTCATTCACGTGAGACATGTAAAGATGAAAACCGAACGATTCACTTCGTTCATTTCAATCAATCAACCGCGCCGCTAGAAAGCTGTTGTGTCGTGTTTGTATTTATTTTACAAAAACCGATATCTCGTGATACTGCATCGCTTCGTAACTTTTGAGTGAAGTATTTAATAGCTCGCGTTGTGAAGTTTTTCTGATGTTTTAATTATAACCAGTAAATAAGGAGTGTTTGAAACATGGGTGCTCGCGTATCCAGAACCGACTTCGAGTGGGTTTACACTGAGGAACCTCATGCGAGCCGCCGGAAAATAATTCTAGGTACGTTATTACGTCATGTATCATATATAGAAACCATTTGAACGTACGTAAATGTAATATTAAACAGAATCTAGGCGGGCAGTGCTTGATGCCTCGGTCCTTCTTCGGTCGAATTAGAAAAAAGTTCACGGTCATATAACGTTTGTAGTTTCTCCGGTTGACAACAGTTATTTAGTCATCAATTTATACACCCGAATGTTAGGAAGAATTTACTGTTAAGTATTACGTAGCTGTTCCCGTAGTAACATCAATCTGCATTTCATACTCAGATTTTCACTCGTACAATGTAAATTGATAGCTCTATTCTGTATTACAATACAGTTACATAAAAATATACATTTAATTGCCGGCAATCGCACATAAAATATATTTTTTATCACTAGATTTGACCCTGAATTTATGTACAGAGATTATGCCTTGACATTGAGTAAATGGCTAGGTACTGTAGATTCAGCATCTCTTTGCTGCCTAAGTTATTAGTCAGGATAACATCACTACTTACTATAGACAATTAATTGGCTGAGTGGTAATGTAACATGGACTGCCTCTTGTTAAAAAGTAATTTATCATAATTTTATTGTGTAAAAAATAGTACCTATTTACTTACATAGCTAAATAAGATTTTATTGTTGATAATTTATATAAAAAAGTATAATCATGATTCAGTCATGTACCTAAAGCAAATTACATAAAATTGATAGATTTAGGGACAGTAAAACACTTTTAAAAACAGGAGTATTAAAAAAATACTTTTGAATTTAGAACTATGTCTGGTTTATGCTCTTTTTAAGTAATTATTTAATATGTTCTTTGCTCACTCACCAATAATTATTATTTGTGTATTGGGATTTAAATGATGTTTTGTAGTATATCTTTCAATGCTATGTTCACAAATAATTGGGATTTATGTACTGTATATGGTCAAAATTAAGCTGATTGTCTGTAGTATTTTACTGTTCCTATTGAAATAAAATAAGGACTTAAATTAATTGTTCTGTAGCTGTAATTGACACAGTCATATTATAATAAATGAATTTTATACCAAAGGCAGTCATCATCAGCTGAAAGAAGAGCATTTGTTTCAAACCAATGTTTCCCAGTCCCCAGTTAGTCCATCTTTGAGCCTGTATGTAAAACATGTGGCACACTTAGTTCATACAAATTATGTTCCATATTCAAATTTTTCTGATACATATTGGCCACCCTGAGATTGTGAAAAAGTCCAATGAAATTGAGTAGGTACATAATACTTTTTTTTATCCCAAATGACGATGCCATGATTTCACTGAAATAAAAAAAAGTACCAAATTCATTTTTTTTTTATATCAATCTGATTCTTGTATTTTAGTTTAGATTATTTTCAAGAAAAATTGTAGTACATACATAATTGTGTAAATGTGAAACTTATAAAAAAAGTTTTATTCACATACTTAGTTTTTTTTTGTTTGTTTCAAATTCCATGAAATCAAACACAATCCCATAGATACAAAAGAGTAAATTTTGCCAGTACTTTTAAAAAGAAAATGCTTCCATTTGACAAGTTGTTGACAAGTTTTCAAGAACTCAATTAGCTTTGTTCGGTTTAAGAGCTACTTAGATTCTATTGTATGCTAAATGTTAATTAACATGAATGTACAGAGAGCTTGTATGATTTACATACTATATTTCTATGTGGGTGGTCATCACCGTGTCAGTCCAGGTCTTTTTCTTGCCATATACTTACTTATACCTTTCTTCATCGGTTTTATGCATCTCAAATTCATCTGTGTTCAAACACAGTGGTGTGCGATTGACTAGAACTATGTCTAAGTGGACTAAATCAGGCTGCTGCTGCTGCTAATGAATGATGATGATGATGATGATGAAATTCATCAGTTGTCAAATTCTAATGTGAGTGGTGATCAGTGTAAATTAATATTTTTTGATTTAATAAGTTTCTTTTATAAAACTTGTCCATTATACTATGTTATTATTTTTTTCATTATTGAACCTTTTTTTTTTTTTTTTGGTGTCGGGTTGGAAAATCCTCATGGAGACCCACCACCCTCGGGGAAGGGCGAAGGTACTGTCAGACTCATACTGACTAAAAACCAACCCGGTGTTCCTCCACTTACCACATTATTGAACCTTCTTCATGTTTTTTTTTCTTTTGTTGTGTCTATGTAGCTTACAAACATTATTTCATTATTTAAATGAAATAACAATGATATAGAAAACAAAAAAAAAAAAAATATTTGTCTTTGAATCAGCTCACAAACAACAGTTATCTAACCATAGTGAAACAATAAAACAATTAATGTTAAATTAATATTGGCCACTAGCTACTCTCGCGTGGTTTCACCCGCTGCTCGACTCCATTTGATCGTAGCGCGATGTTTTATAGCCTATAGCACTCAGGAACATTGTAGCTATGTATCAGTGAAAGAATTTTGGCAATCCGACCAGCTGTTCCAAAGATTACCCCCTACATACAAACTTACAATTTTTACCTCTTTATAATATTAGTATAGATTATACAAAATTATCACCACGCATGTCAAATATTGTCATCATGGGGAGTTTCTGTTCATCCCTATATGAGAAAGTTGTGACTGTGTGAAATTATCATGAAGTAAAGATTTTTCTTTTCCTTCATCGAATCTTACACTGTGTGAGCACTGGCAAGAAATCTATGCTTCATATTTTTTTTCATAAAGATTTAAGTACATGACATATTGAAATAATAATATAGGCACAATAAATTGATCATATTTCATAGTTAAATATTTGAATTATGTTGATTGATAGTATTTCCTAAGTTATGACAGGATAAAAATTAAGGATGTTTTTCGATAAATCGTGCTCGCGCCGGGCCTCCGGTAAACTTAGTCACACGACGTACTGTAACACGACGCTGTGGTTGGTTCACCCAGGTTTTTGCGCGTGGCTGTTTTTGAGGTGGAAAAAGAATCAAATGACTTCTCCCGCCCAGGGCGACAGGGAGTGTGAGACTCTTACTGACTTAAAACCCCCCTCCGTTCCTTCTCCTGTTCTAGGCTGAGGCCGCGATGCCTTATTGCCCTTGCCCCGAAACAACGGCTATATATCAGCCGTATAGAGCCCCGTCTGTGGTGGTCTATTGGCTCGCTCGCTCCCAGAACGCAATGCGCCGTACGCTCGGGTCTGGTTCTAGTCAGGCGGCGAGCTACCCTTGCTCGCCATCCGTAGACGTTTTCTGTGAGGCCGTGGTTTCATTTCGGTGGAGCCAATCCTTTGTATTTATACCTATCTCTACTTCTTCTCTCCGGGATAAAAACATAAAAGTTATTCTAGAATTTCAGACTTTAATCTACTGGGAACTGAGCCGTCACTCACGTTTCTAAATTCTCAACCAAAAACGCCTTATTGCATAATGTTATTGAAACACGTGTTTAAAAAAACGTATCGTTCGCTTAGCGATCTCGTCTGTTCGTAAAATACTGGTTTTATGTGCTTCTACTGTGATAGCTATGTTGGTTATGTAGATAAGAGATCGTTATATTATGGAAATATTTTAACCAGTAAACACATATATGTGTTTTTTTAGCCGATGACAACTCTACTATTCTTGCGGTTATAGATAGGAACTGACTAAGTACTGAAATTTAACTGAGACTGAAATGCAGCAGGATTATCCAAATTATCCATATACCTATGTATAATAATATTATAAATGCGAAAGTAACTCTGTCTGTTTTCTCTTCACTCCTAAACTACTGCACCGATTTCCGAGACATAGTTTGGAATTCGAGAAAGGACATGGGATAGTTTTTTTTTTATACCAAAAATCTGCAGGAAGTCACGGGAACGGAGTCGCGGCCAAAAGTTAATAATTCATAAGTGTGGGAGAGCCATGCTTCTTTACGAATGGACCGGCTCGACATAAGTAATACCGCGGTCTTACAGAAAATTGATATGAAACAACTACAGCGTTGTTTTGAGCCGTAGGTATGTGCGACGGTGCCGGCCGGTTGGCGCGATTTTTGTTATTGTTACGCTGCCGCTGTAACGTTGCCGGATGCTCGATTTCAAATTCAAAGTCTAAATCATTAATGCAATTAGACCTCTTTTATTTTGATCCTCCCCTACCTCCTAATCCTCAATAATCGAAATCCACATCTTCAAAATGCTTGTAATACACCCGTAATAACTACAGGGTTGCGCACGGGTTGCGGGTATCCAACTAGCAAGGTGTCAGTCATTTGTTTTTAGCGAAACGGTTTTATTTTTATGTAATAGGTCGGCAAACGAGCAGACGGATTACCTGATGGTAAGCAATCAGCGCCGCCCATGGACAGAAGACAACAGAGGAGTTACGAGCGCGTTGCTGTCCTTTTGGGGATTAGGGATTTGGAGATTTAAGGATTGGGGGAGAGGAAGGATTGGGCCTCCGGTAACCTCACTCACACGGCGAAACACAACGCTGTGGTGGTTTCACGCCGGTTTTCTGTACGATGTATCACTCCGGTCGAGCCTACCCATTCGTGCCGAAGCTCCCACACATACAGTTTGCTATTTCCCATATAGGTATTTATTAGCAAAAACAGCATTAAAAAATATCCAAATCGCCCGAGCTGTTCACTTGTGATACCATTAAGGAAAATTGGCAATCATTTTTATTTACCTATGTATACTCACATAAAAATTAATTGAAATTTTCCTCCTTATAGATATAAATCATCAATCCCAATACATTTGTCACATCTTCAGTAACTAAAGATAATATACTTACCTAATAGGATTATGAATAATTGTATTTTTATGGGCTAATAGTAATAAAAAAACGTGTTGACTGCGAAAAAAATAATTTATAAACAATCGCAGATAGATATGATATCGGTTTCCGACATTCTTTTAAAAGATAATATTATATAAAAATACGCAGCGTGGCGTCACGAGGATCATAAAAGTATTACCTAATTAGGTATCGTCATGAGCTAAGTTTCACATGTAAACAGCAGCTCATGTAGTGTAGATGTCCA